GAAATAAACTTAATAAAAAATAATATTTATCAAACAAAATACTTTAAAAATGAAGAATCACTAAATCATTAATGACTCTTGCTAATGACAAAATTTTAAAGTAAACATCTTAGAGATTTAATTAGTTAAATTAGTCATAGTTGTCCATTTAACGAGTGACTTTGATATGCAAGTCCAATCGGGCAACTTTGAAATTTTAATATTTTTTAAAAAAAAATATTTTAGCATTGCTTATTAAAAATCTAGATCAAGTGTTGAAGGCATTGCTTATTTTCATAGCTTTCATAATAAAAGTGAAATAATTTTAGCGGTGTACTTGTTTCTAAATTATCAAATGAAATTAAAATAAATTGATTTAAAAATTTATTATGTAGATAATATAGTGTACATTATTTAACTTAATTATCTCAAATGATCAAACGACATAGATGAATTGTATGGCTGTAATATCAAATCAACTGTTGTTGTGGTAGATGGAAGAAATTAGGTGTAACATTAATATTTTTGCAAAAATGATATTTATATTTTAGTAATAATTTATGTCTCCTGTGTATTTTGTTATATAAGTAATGCTTTTAGTAATAGAGTCGGACACTGATTGTAGTTACTTTTTGATACGTTATCAAAAAATTATCTTGACCGAGCATGAATCTCGAGGCAAAATCAAGTTGGAAACTTTCGAAATTAAAATTGGAACCATCTGAACTCTGATTTCGACAAACTTATAGTCAAACTAAGCGTCTCGGAAATACAAACCCAACGACACCAAATTCGACTCAATCCGTGTGAGACCTCGTTCCCTTACTGTTCCTCTCTGATTTGGATTTTTCCTCTCAGGATCGTCCAGGACGATTTTAGATCGTCCAGGCCGATCGGCACTGTAGAAAATATCGGCCTGCAGATAGTTCTGGGAATCGTCCAGGATGATTTTTTTGGGAGTATTATACATGACTTTTGAGATATGAATCGACTTGTATATTGATGTTTTACATTTTATAGATGTTTGATAGACTGCTTAATTGAAGGTTTTAGATAACTCTGGTAAATTGTTTGGAAAATTTGATTGACATTCTTTCCAAGTTAGATCTTGGGGCATCACAATCCGAGCCCGAATCAGTCCAAATCAAGGACCCGAAACGCTGTTGGAAGATTCGAACCACAATTTGGATTATCAAACGGTTTCAAAACATAACAAGCTTATACTCAAATCGAGCGGCTAGACGAGACGAATCCAACGAGCCCAAGATCACTGAATTCCGTCATCACTAAAACATTCAAATGTCCATCAAACGGTTCATGATCAGAGGATTCAACATTGGCCGTCCATCAACCACTCCCAACTTACCCTTGATCCTCCACCTATTTACGAGCCATGCCATTCCCAAAATCTATAAATATAGCTCCCTCTCCACATGAAAAGGGACCCATGAGCCTAAGAAAAAAAGAGAGAGATGAGAGATCTCTCTTGCTTCCTTGCCACCTCGACCACCGCCGGAGTTTCGTCGGACCACCACTGGAGTTCCGTTGAACCACTACTAGTCCACCACCGTCGGACTTCCGCCAGACCACCACCTAAAGCCCTGTGCTCCGCTGGACCACCACCTGACGCCATGTGCTCCTTCGGACCACCACTTGACGCCATGTGCTCAGTCGGACCACCACCTGACTTCTTGTGCTCCGCCGGACCACCATTTGAGGTCCTCACCTCTGTCGGACCACCGCCTGACTCCGTTGCTCCGTCGGACCACCACCTGAGGCCCGGATTCTGCCGGACCACCGCCCTCAACTTCGCTGAATAATCGTCTGATGCCGCTGCTTCGCCGGACCACCACTAGAGTCCCTCACCTCTATCGAACCACCGCTTGAGGCCCTACACTTTACCATGCCACCACTTAAGGCTCAGGCTTCCACCGAACCGTCACTTGAGGCCTTGTGCTCCACCAGGACACCACCTGAGGCCCAGACTTCTTCCAAACCACCGCCAGACATCGTTGCTCCGCCGAATCACCACTTGAGGCCCTTACCTCTACCGGACCACCACTTGAGACCCTGTGCTCCATCAAAACATCACCTAAGGCCTGGACTTCCGCCGGATGACTACTTGAGGCCTTGAGCTTCACAAGGCCACCACTTGATGCCCAAAGTTTTCTTAGAATACTGCCGACCTCCATCGCTAGACAACAGTCTTTTTGTCCCTGGTCTTCTCCCGACTACGGTCCTTTTGACCTCAGCCACCTACTATGGTCCATCTGACCTCCATCACAAGACAATGATCTTTCTGACCTTGGTCTCCTGCCGACTAAGGTCCTTCTGACCTCAGTCACCTACTATATTCCATCTGACCTCCATTACAAGACAACAGTCTTTCTGACCCTGATCTCCTGCCGACTACGGTCCTTCAGACCTTCGTCACATACTATGATCCTTCCGACCTCCATCACCAGACAATGGTCTTTCAGACCCAGTCTCTAGTCGACTATGGTCTTTCAGACCTTCGTTGCCTACTATGGTCCTTCCGACCTCCATCACCAGACAACGGTCTTTCAGACCCCAGTCTCATGCTGACTACGGTCTTTCAGACATTCGTTGCCTATTATGGTCATTTCGACCTCCATCACTAGACAATGGTCTTCCAGACCCCAGTCTCGTGCCGACTACGATCCTTCATACCTTCGTCACCTATTATGATCCTTTGGACCTCCATGACCATACAACAATCTTCTAGACCCTAGTCTCCTGCCGACTATAACCCTTCCGATCTTCGTCGCCTACTATGGTCCTTCCAACCTCCATCACCAGACAACGGTCTTTCAGATCCCAGTCTCCTGTCGACTACGGTCCTTCAGACATTCGTCACCTACTACGATCCTTCCGACCTCCATCACCAGACAATGGTCTTTCTGACCCTGGTCTCCTGCCGACTACGATCCTTCTGACCTCCGTCACCTACTATGGTCCATCTGACCCCCATCACTAGACAACGGTCTTTCTGATCCTAGTCTCCTGCCGACTACGATCCTTCTGACCTCCGTCACGTACTATGGTTCATCTGACCTCCATCACTAGACAATGATCCTTTTGACCCTGGTCTCTTGTCGACTACGGTCCTTCTGACCTCCATTACCTACTATGGTCCATCCGACCTCCATCACTAGACAATGGTCTTTTTGACCCCAGTCTCCCACCGACTACGGTTCTTCTGACCTCTGTCGCCTACTATGGTCCTTCCGACCTCCATCAATAGAAAATGGTCTTTCTGACCCCAGTCTCATGCCAACTACGGTCCTTTTGACCTCTGTCTCCTACTATGGTCCTTCCGACCTCCATCAACAGACAACGATCTCTCTGACCCCGATCTCCTGTCGATTACGGTCCTTCTGACCTCCGTCTCCTACTATGGTCCTTCCGACCTCCATCAACGGACAACGGTCTTTCTGACCCCGGTCTCTTGCCGACTACGGTCCTTCCGACCTACATCGCAAGAAAACAGTCTTTCTAACCTCTGTCTCTTGCCGACAATGGCCCTTCCAACCAAACAAACATGTCTATGTTGATTATTGTAACTCCCACCATGTAATGCACTCTATATGACGTACATTTGTAACATCAAGCCAATGCCTTCTCCCTAAGAAGGGCCTCATTTGTAATCGATTGCAAATACTAGTGGATTCATTCAAACTGGGCCAGTCCCCGTGGTTTTTCCCCCTTTTCAGGGGTTTTCCACGTAAAAATGCTGGTGTCTCTTATGAATGCTACACCATCTCTCTTATCTAATTGTGTTTTTGATCTTCGTACAACGCTAAGATGCTAAACATTATAATTCTCTACCGCCGCGAATACTCTAGGACGCAACACTTTTATTAGATTTTTTTTTGCAAAAAATACCCAAGTTCTTCAATTTGTATTTTTTTTTTTCTTTATAATGTATTGGCTTAGTTTTGAGAAGCTTGAGGCATCCCCACAAAATAAAAAAAAAAATGAATATTACAAGCTCATAATTGCATGATTGTATGACAATGTGTTATGATAGTATGCTATAGCTAAATGTGAAGACAAATGAAATTTTTAGGTATTGGATGCATGTTTGGATAGACAATAGTGATCATTTACTCTAGCATTTACATAGTGAAGCATTGAGGATAAACACTAATAGGACAGGAGATTTTTTGAATGCTTATGAATGGAAATATGTAGATGAAAATTTCTTATAACAAGATTATAATATGGTTGACGCTCTTTTTCTTCGTATGTGGTATCATGAGATACAACATGAAAGAGAAGCTGGGACTTTAGCTGTTGTTGAAAGGCCATCATTTGATCTTAAACATGTTATTCTTTATTGTCCATGGGATTCAATCGAGAAAATTTTTATTTTGGACATTTTATAAGAAATGTATGAAAAAGTTATTGTGTCAAGGCAAGAGACGGAGGCTTTTAAATAGAGCATATTAATAAGATCTTTAGTATAAATTTGAGTTTTACTTCTCCCACTCAAATTCAACTCCAAACATACATGTATATGTTACTTAATGAGAAGTACTAATTTGTAGTCACTCTTTTCGTTGTTCGTATTTCGTTGTGTTGCCGTTGGTCGGTAGTAGTAATCGAGAAATGCAGGTGCTTAATTTAATATAGTTGATTGTAATGTGTTAACTTATGTATTTAATCTTTTTTTTATATTTCAATTTGTACATTAATTAAGCCAAAAAGTTGTTCTTAGAAATTATTTGTAGCTAGTAACTGATGTAATTAGTTATTTATTAATTGCAATGTATTCTTAATTAAAATTAAAGTTAATTATCAAATAATTTAAGAAATTAGTTATTTATTAATTACATTATATTCTTAAAAGTTTAATTAAATTAATTTATTACTATGCTATATTTCGGTCTGTTCTCCTGTTCCGCGGTCTTCCTACTATAGCCGCAGATTTGCTAGGTTTGCTTTTCGCCACTGTTCGTTGCTCTTCGACGTCGCCTCCTTCGCGTAACAGGTAGAGTTTCGAACGGTCGCTAAATAACTTCTTCGCCTCCTTCGACGGCGTTCATTCCTGTCGGATCCGAACTCACACCTCCTCGCCGTTCGTCTGTTTGATCGGAAGCAACGGCGACGAGGCGAGCTTGCTCGTTGCGTAGCCATATTTCTTCCGTTCGCGCGCTTCTTCGGCCAAATCCCGTAAATCCACCGAACTCCCGGATTTAGTAATAAAGCCGGGATTTAGGAAAAAAAAAAAAAAAAAAGCGAAACGGAGGATTTAGCTTGCTGCGAGATTCAACGAGCAAAAAGATTTTGCTTGTTGCCTAGTCATATTTGGCAGGATTTAGCATAAAACCTGCTCAAATACTGCATAAATCCTGTATCCAAAAAACTCTAAAAAAAATTTTAAATACTTTTTTTTACTTAATTATTAATTAATATCGATTGAGATCGTTCTTAAAATAGTGGATTGCCGTTCGTCTTGCAGGTGTGGATCACTTGGGGCAACAATCTGCTACTGACTAGAACATTAGAAGAGCGGGCGAAAGCGAAGATTCGTACCGCAGCATCTCCAGTTCACTACTCGTTCGGGACGTCCTTGGAGCCAAAAACTCCATCACGGCCGCCGCTGAGGGTAAACCTAGGAATATATAGGTCTAAGAAGAGGAAGAGGACGCAGTGATGATGGATTCGAGTCTTGAGCTTCAGGAATCCGGTTGGGAGGAACTAAGGAAAGAGGCAAGGAAGATCGAGGGAGATCTTGACATCAAACTCTCTTCCTATGCCAAACTGGCGGCCAGATTCACGCACGCTTCAGGTATTTCGCCCTTCGCTTTCCGTCTAACAGATCTGATCTACAAGTTAGTGTATGGATGAATTTGATGTGGCTAGAATTGGGATCCGAAACTCTCCCTCTTCCATAGTTTCCTGGTTTTCATCTGCCGCTGCTTCACATTGTATGTTTAATGTAGCCGTTTGGGAGACCATTCTGTCGCTGGTAAATTGTTAGATTAAATCGGCTACTCCATACCAAATAGTTTGCGACCCGCAAATAACAGAATCACATATTTCAAAAATCAACTTCATTCTTCCAAATTTGTCATTATATGTTTATATTTTCCTTATACTTTTTCCATGAAGTAGGCTTTATAAAACTGTTTAGCAATCAAATGTAGAATCTGAGTTAATCTGAGAAAACTATTAAAGTTTAGTTTAAAGTAAGCTTCTGCCAAGTAAATGAGGAAAGATATGATCAGTAGTAGTTTTCCGACATAGAATTCATTTCATACGAAGGGAGTGGCGCTGGGTTGTTTGATTGTGTCTTTTGTGTAGTGATGGACACGTGTTGGGGGGTTGGGTTGGTGGCTAGGTGTTTGTGGAGAGTTTTGGCTAGGGTTTATGATGATGGTGGTAGGTTACTTGATGAACGAATAAGAGGAAGCCAAGGTCCTTTTAACACCAGCGTGAAAGGAATGTTTTGCCTTGATACAGTTGGGGCAAATGCAAAAGTGAGAAAATCTTCAAGTTTGAGAACTCCAAGTCAAGAGAGAACTTTTGTATCATTCCTTATTGGTCATGATCGCTCGAGGGGAATATAAGAGGTTTGGGTTGAGAGTAAGAGGGATAGGTTAAAATTGTTACTACGAGAAAGATTGAGGGAGCTGAGAGCTGAGAATAAAAGAAAAAGGAGAAATGGAGAGAGTATGATTGTCATCCATTATAGGAGCAGAAGAGGGATTCTTTGTAAGCTTGTATTATAAACATTCATTATCATTAAGTAGAACTTTTACGCCCTACTCCTATCTATATAGTGGGCTTTAAAGCAACAAAGAAACAACTAATGAAAGAAAGCTGTTGAGAGGTATTCTCCAAATAATAGAAGTCGTCATGCATGAAATCCTCTTAAATAAGAAATTATTCACGACAATATATTATAACAATAAAATAAAATTAATGCGTGAAATCCTTTTGATGATGGTGGACTGCATCACCTTTCATGCTATTCATCTAGATGCGAATATAATTGAGAGTGTATACTAACATGCAAGCACAATATAAAAGTTTATATTGATTGTAAAATTTTAATTATTTTAGTAAATATTTGCTTAAGCTTAATAACAAAAGACGATGTAAGATAGATCATGGTGTCCCTAAGCATGTTATCTATGTGAATATAACAAGGCCTTGAGTTAGAGATAATAGTGTCATGAGATAATTAACCCAATTTCTTTGAATGTCATAGATGATGTTAATGAAGGGTTAACATGAAAATTGGATGATGTGCTAGATGAAGTTGATGAATTAGTGTTTGGTGAAGAGGAGTTGACCTAGGGAACTTTTCTAATGGTGTTTATAAAAGAAAATACAAGTTTCAAGATCTAAAGGACACGAAAATGAATCATCATTTTAATTTTCAAACAAGCAAGAAATGATTAGGATGATGAAGAGGATTATAATGCGTGAGATAATAACGATGAAGAAGATGAATCTATTTTGGTTTATGATAATCATGATGAATTTAAGGATGAGTAATTTAGTATTTGAATTAATTATTGGTTTAAATATGTTATGTGTACAAGTTTTCTTTTGAAAGTATGTACTATTATATTTCTTTATGAAAATCTAGCTCCATTTTCTTTTTCATTTTTACTTGAGTGTTATGTCTTACGACAACTTTGATAGTTTAATCTATCAATTTAAAATGCAATGTGGTTTTTTTGTTCATCTTCAGTTCTTCACGTATATAAGTATTAGCATAATTTCTCTAAAAGTTATGAGGGGGTTTCAGCAAGACCCTAAATGATCAATTACTTTGGAAAATGATTAGTATAAGGCCACCATGGAAGCAAAACAGCGAAAAACCTATAAAGACAATAGATATATGCGAGGGCTATACAATTAATGAACACCCTGCTAGTGTAAATGTCAAAAGTTGCTATAAAATAAAAAGCAAAATGCATGGAGTGACATAGTGTTGATGGTAACAAGTAAAACGCACCCTTTTTAAAATTTAAACAGTATTATATTTTACTGTTGTGACATTTTTTAGAAGTAAATTGTATTCTTATATTGTTGAATCATTAATAAAATATTCATAATTTTGTATGGTTTAGGCTACTTTATAACACTGTGTCTTGGTGCTTTATGGATCCTAGGAACCCTTTTTCCTCATTGTGGTATTCATTAATAAAAAATATGATCTTTTCATAATTGGAAAATATAATCCGGAAGTTATCCAAAATGATTTATGCATAATTGATTTTGCATTTCAAGTAGCAGTCAACAAGTTGAATGGAGGAGGATTGCTAAAATCAATGCCAAATAGCTAAGGATAAAGCTAATATTGTTAATGATAATTTATGCAATTATACTATAAATGTAATATTTATAAATTATATGGAGGTCAACTTTATAGTCTAAAGGTTTTCACTTGAGTAGATCTAAAATTGAATATATGGAGTGTAATTTTAATAGCAATAGACTTAGTGAGGGGATTGTGACTTTGGGCGATCAAGTCATTAATAAGAGTACATGTTTTAGATATATTGGATCTATTGTTCAGAGTGATGGTGAAATTGATGGGGATATTATCAGCAGAATTCAAGTTTGATGGTTGAAGTGGAGGAATGCATCGGGCTTATTGTGCAATAGAAAAGTCCCCCTCAAACCTAAGGGAAAATTCTATAAGATGGTGGTGAGACCTGCAATGCTTTATGGTGCCGAATGTTGGCCATTAAAAGAGAAGCATAATACTAAGTTAAGTGTTGCAGAGATGAGGATGCTTAGGTGGGTGAGTGGCTTGACCCTTAGAGATAAGATACGAAATGAGCATATACGTGAAAAGGTTGGAGTAGCTTAGTGGAAGATAAGATTAGAGAGAGTCGCCTTAGATGGTTTGGTCACATTAAACGGAGGCCTTCCGATGACTCGGTTAGGAAAGTTAAGGTATTAGATTTGACTTATGTTAAGAAAGGTAGAGGTAGACCTAAAAAGACTTGGTTAGAAAATATTAGAAATGATCTTTCTTTATTATATTTAAATGATAATTTGACTTTTAACCGGACTCAATGGAGAAAAGGGATTCATGTAGCCGACCCCACATAGTGGGACAAAGGCTTGATGTTGTTGTTGTTGTCTCTTTTCCTCTGTCATATTTCTCTCACTCTTCATTTGTTCTCTCTTCTACTCATCAAATTGATAATCAACCTTTGGTCCAATTTGGTAAAATTTTAATTGCCTCTCAGATTTGATAAATCAAGCCAAATTCAAGATTAATCTCATAATCAAAAGCCAAATTTAAGCTGGTTGGTGGAATACTGGGATTAAAACAACTTTAATCCATACATTCTTCCCATCGAAATAAATACAACCATATCTTTAATCCATATCTCCTAGCATAGCTTCCATTCATTAAATTGTTTTGGTTTGGTGCAGCTTTTAAACTTTTCATCATTCATTTTAACTTTGCATGCTACTAATATTACAAACATTATGATTTTCTTGGGGGGAACCATTTTTTATGTGCATTTGGGTTTAACCTTCTGAGAATTCATGTATGATTTCTTTAATTTTGTTAAGAATAAAGTTCTCATTTTCTACATATTATTATCATGTTTGAAGCTATTTGGATGTACTTATATCACTTTTCTTACATTAAAATGAAAGTTTGGTCTAATTTGGGCACTTTGTAGTTGTTATCTTGCATTTTTTCAGTTGGAGATCAAAGCTATCTTCTAGTTTATTAATTTTCATGCTTGCAGGTATTACGGATAATGGATCCCCTAATATTGGAGCGAACAGATCATGGACCTCTATGGAAATGGAGATAGAGTCCTTGTTAGAGAAGCTACTGGACATTAATGATTCCATGAGCCGTTGCGCTGCATCTGCAGCATCAACCACATCTATTACACAAAAGTTAGCAAGGCACAGGGACATATTACACGAGTACTCACAGGTAATTTCAGTTAATTTACTTTCATACTTGCATTACTTTTGAGCATTATCCTGGCAAGTGTTTTCCTGTCTATTTCAGAGATTTTTTTGTTAAATGTAGAAAGTTAAGTCTAATGAAAACATGGAATTTATGTTATGTATGAAAATGAGGATGCATTTTGGATCACTAATAGTAACATTACAAAATTTGAAATTCAAAGTTGGTAGGCCTAAACAAATTTTGCAAATTGGTCAGAGGGCGTAAAAACAAATTGTGGTCAACAATAAGTGGTAGACTATAACTTATCACCCAAAAAGCCATGGATATTTTTGTTAATAATGTTGCTCTTATGAGATTTATTTGTTTCTGAAATCATTTTATTTTCTTTGTATGTAACACCAAAGTGGGAATATACTTTGTCCACATCTTAGGAGTCTCATAATATATCATCTCCCGTAAAGCAATATAGCATGGGTAGAGAGACCCAGACTGTTTAAGGATCCTTGTATCCTTTTTCGGTTGTTTGCTCATTCTAAACCAAATTATTTACATTCCAAATTGTTGTTTTTTGTATTATTTCATTTTTTCCTCTTTTTGTTGAAGATGATGTGAAACCTTTTGTTAAATTGTGTTGTCTGCCTTAATGGAACTAAAAATGAACACGTCTTGAAGAAGAAGAAAGGCCCTACGATGCTGCTTTGAGACAGGTAGATAGTGACAACGAGCCCAAACGATGGTAGTCAATAATCCTAGGAATGATATGAGAGAGTAGTCTGAGTAAACTCAGACTATTGTGCTACCTTGTTGAGGTTATAACATTATTAAATTACTGAAGAATGTCGGTGTAGCAAAGCTAGCTTGGCCTTATGATGAAAAAGACTACAATGGGATGATTGCTCACTTTAAAAAGTAAGGAAGTTTTGCCATCTTTCATCATAGAGTCAATAAATGGAACTCCTATACTATTGAGGTGGAAAACTTCTAATACATGATTTATGAGCAAGCTTGAAGTGATCCCATTTGAGGAGTTAAAAGCACTAAAAACCTATATGTGTACCCATTCATGCAAGAAATGCTAAGGGATCCCTAGGTCGTGTTGATGTGAGCTGGACATCATGCTTACTTTCATAAATACTTGGTGCATCTGTGCTAGCACAACTTGAGTAGAATAAATTGTCTTTACATGAGTGATTTAAGTTGTCAGCAAAATAGTCCCCATGAGAAAGACTATTTTGCCCAGAAAAAACAAAATAACAAAATAATGTAGCTAGAAAATCCACGAAGAACATCTCATTAATTCCCCGAGCTAAAATTGAGTGCATATTCATCACTAACTCAGGCTCGAGCATCTACCCCGCAATTTTCATAGTCAAGGGTAATCTAGTACTGAAGGCATTATGAAGTCCTACAATGAGTAACACGTGTTCCTGTCATTAAAGACTCTCAGTATATATTTTTAAAATAATAAGTCCATGCCAATTATTGCCCCTTAAAAGGTGATGATAATTAGCCAAGGTTTTATGTAGTCTAGATGAATATATAATTTTCTTCTCCAATGTTGACCGGTCATTCAACAATTGAAAATCTTATAAAACGTGTGAACATATTCCTCGTAAGTATCCCCTAATATGAGTAAACTGAATATAGCTTGGAGTTCTTTTAAAATGATGGTCATCTCATGCCGCTCTATCCAACAAATATTTATGGTATTATCCCAATGCTCTGTTGTATCTTGGATCCAACAAGGTGGCAGGTTATGATAACCAAATATAGCTGCATGGATCGCCTGATAAACGTCAACACTCTGAGCATCACTTATTACCCGAGGAGGACTCTCAAGTCTGGAATCATGAATCCATTCATTTGCTTTATGTTTGTAACAAATAGTAGCTCATAAGCTGAATGGCACATGTGCTCTTAACATTATTTGTAGCTGGTTATTCTACATCCTAATCGACCATAATTAAGATTATTAGTAATTCTTTCTAGAAGATTGCAATCTATATGTTTTAACTTTTAAGTAATGAACTTGTTGGTAAGGTTGTGTCCCACAGAGAGGTTTGAATCTAAGTCACTCATACGAGGAGAACGAGCAATTATCTCATCATAGATGTTTCTATCAGTCATGCTAAGATAACAGGATCTCACATGCAAGCTAATCCAGAGGATTAATATCTTTGGATCTCTGTCTAAATGTCCTTTGTAGAATTTAATTTGTATCGGGTATCCAACATGGTCAAATCCACCTGTATATGTAATGTTAAATAAATTTTAAAAAAAGGGTTAAACAGTGATAGATAAAATATATATTATAGGTTGAGTTATTAAATGACATATAAATACAATAATATAGATTGAGTTATTAAATGACATATAAATACAATAAATAATGGAGGAAAGCCTTTTATTTAAATCCATAAACTTAACAAATAACTTTGCAAAAAATTATTTTCATAATGTCGTGAACATTTTTTTTCTTGTAAACATATTAGTTGCAAATCGATGTGACTGTTAATGCTATAAATAATTATTACATATGATTAAATATTGCCACCCAACGTGATCTAGTCCCGTGATCATGTTGTGTTAACCAAAAAAATTTTGATGTTAAGAAAAATTGTTTTTGTAGTTTTTAAAAGTTTATTGATTTAAAAATAGGGCTTTACTCTGTAATCCTCCCTTTTCATATTTCATTTAATAATCCAATTTAGAATTTTGCATGAGTCAACAAATTACTTAGTAAATGAATTAATTACCTAATTTTTGCTATTACATTTATGCATATAAATTCCCCCCTTCATCCTCTCCCTCAAGTGAACGTGGTGTGTGATTATAGGAATATATTCATTTTATTGGTTGCATATGCGTGTGTATATGCATTATGACATATACTTATTTCATTCACCTTAGTTTACCATGTTGGATGCTTGATATTAAACAACTTACAAAGAAGGACATATGGATAGAAAATAAGAAACTTGGTTCCTTTAGATTAGCTCATATGTGAGTTTATCTTAGCATTAAAAAATGCTAATGGATAGGCAGATCTAAGAAAGGATTTTTGCTCCCTCACCTCAGATGGTTTATATCTCCTATGGAATATGACCCTGCTAGTTGGGCCATTACTACAAAGTTATGGCATAAGTATAACAAAAGGAAAAGCCTAAAATAGTTCCCTGACTATTAGTAAATCCTCAATTTAATCCCAAATTTTAATAATAACTTAATATAGTTCACCGCCATTAGAATATATTTCAATTTGGTTCCAATGCCAAAAGAAGTAATTAAAGTTAACCCGAACAATTAAATGTGAGGGCATTTTAGGTATTGGGGTGTATGTGAAATTATATTATTATTTTTATATATTTTATCATTCATCATATTAAAATAGATACACAAATGAAATGGAAGTTAACCACATTTATTAATTATTCACTCTTATTGTTTAGTTGATCAACTTTTATTTTCTAGTTATATAAATATGATAAATGATAAAATATAAAAATAGTAATATAATCCTCATACTCCCTAATATCTAAAATACCCCCACATTTAACTAGTGGGGTTAACTTTGAATGACACTTTTGGCATGAGAATCAAATTAGGATATTTTTAATAGTCGATGAATTATATTGGGTTATTATGAAAGTCTGGAACTAAGTTGAATATTTAATATGCAAATGCTAAAAAGAATTGATTATAATCTTTGTTTTGGCAATCATGATTTATTTCATCTAATTGTGAATAATATTGATGGCATATGTGTCGTTTAATTTTTAAGTTGTAGCTTGCTTCATTTTGAATAAGAGAAATGGAGTCGTGATATCATAATTGGAAGTCCTTGGGCAGTAAGTGGTTAATTATATTGATCACATTGTGTGCTCAGAGTGCATCTTTTGACATTGTCGACTTTCATGTGTCTCGTGATCAATGAGGATGATGGCGAACTAACACGTCGTGGGGACCAAGATTGAAACGTCTTGACCACAATCAAAGTCATTCAAATATCGCTTGTTCACAAAACTGACAACATCGACGCCCCAGGAGTATCAAATTCACTAAAATAGCACCTCCCTTGCACAATTCGATTGGATGTGACAAAACGATGAACAATGATTGCGCGTTGCGTGAAAGTGGCTTAAGCAATGTTTGTTATTTCCTATCTCACACTTTAGATTGCTTTTCTTTAACCAAGAAGATTTCTTTGGTGCTTAGAGTTGCTTCCCAGGAGTCATTTTATGTTATCTTTGACGATGCATGGACGAAATAATTATTCAATATCCTAGCAACCGATATGATTTTATGGACTTTCTCCATTCCATATGCGCATCATTATACACGTTTTGTTCATAACATATTATATTTAGTTGCTAGCAAATATATCAAGAGAGCTGCTCTTAAAAAAGCTTCAGCATGCACATGTTTGAAGGTTGATATTAATCTTACAAATTAGAGCATTATTGATTTTTATCTATAATTGATGTGGCTATACGTAGAAGGTTTTCAAGTTATGTCCATATGATTGCCCGTCTTATTTTATCTGACTTCAAAAATAAAGTTCAATGTTATTTCTTTGTTGCGGAGAATAATGTATCTCAACTACATTTGTGACTTCTTTTTCATTAGGCCCGCCATTTTCATTTCACATATTTAAGTTATGATATAGTATCATGCCTACAAGCACAGTCCAATTTGGCTTGTTTTTTTAGTCCTTCGTCTGACTGGCTTTGAATGTGACCTTGGTATTTTAGGAGTTTCGACGGACCAAATCAAACTTGAATTCCATGAGGGAGCATTCTGAGCTACTCAACTCTGTCAGAGATGACATTAGTGAATCGAAGGTGATACAAGCTTCTGGATCCAGTTTATCATATCACAAAATTAAACTTTGTTTCTACTTCTAAACTTTATTTTCTGTTTAGGGATCTGGAAGTATGTCACCAACGATGCACCTTTTACGGGAAAGAGCATCAATTCATGGAAGTATAAACCTTGTAAGAGTCGGCTATTTGCTTTTATTATTTGATTACACTTCCATGATGAAGGTATACAACTAAATTTAGTTATATCAATTTCTTGCCTGAGATTTATGTATACTGCAGGGGTTCCAGGCAAAAGCCAACATTTTAATTAATTAAATGCATCGTTGCCAAGAAGCAATAATCCATCATAGATATATATTTGACCCAAGCTGTCTAATTTACAGTTTGAAAAATGTTGCATGGTACAAAGTATAAATAATAGTTACGTTTATTTAATGGCTATGTTGCACCGATACGGATACAGCGACACAGATACGACACGATACGGATACAGACATGTCAATTCTTAAAAATACAGGATACGGATGCTGCGCGATTACGGCATTATAATATATAAATCATACATAAAAATTAAGATTGATGAAGTTATACATATTTCTATTTCCATTCTAGTAACAGTTTGTCTGCCATTGACCAAGTTCTTCTCTTTTAGATCGATGAAGTTATAAACCAGGCCCAAGCTACAAGATCAGTTCTGGGTACACAACGAGCTTTCTTTGGACATGTTCAGGGTAAAGTAAAGCAATTGGGCGATAATTTTCCGAAGATCCGTGGCCTATTAGGTATCCCAATATCTTTTCTTCATAGTCTTGTTTTAGCACTATTAATTAAGAAATTTTTTGAGTAAGGTTAGAATGATTTTACTCTCGATGGATGAAATCATTGGATTTTAAAACTCATCTTTTATCTAATTTGGTTCAGGACATTCTAATATAATTTGTATCCCGTAATTAATATCTAATCAACAATTTGTGCTTATTATTATCATTATTATTTTTATTGAAGGTGCAATCAGCAGGAAGCGTTCAAAGGACACACTCATCCTTGCAGCAGTTATTGCAGCCTGCACTCTATTTCTGATCATCTACTGGCTTTCAAAATAATAGAAAATATTCAGTCATTCTCTGCTACAAATTAAAGGTTGGGAGCAGATTATTTGTTTATGTGCTCTTGGTTTCTTGCCCTCAGCCCAAACCTAATTTCTGCATCAAAACTTGTTTTCCTGACTTGCTATGGTGTATAGAATCTGTTATTAGCTTTAGTTCATAGGGATTCTGCAATGCAAAGATTTATGGAGAGATTTTTATTTTTCCAATGAAGTTGATTATTTTGTAACGGTGCACTTATTGTTTAAATTGCTTATTCCTGCAATTAAGATTCACACCAAATGTAGTGTACACATTAAAGATTGTATAAGTAAAAAAAAATATTATATTTGCATAATAAATTAATAACTTTAAGGCTGATCATCATCATGTGTAAGGGCTTAGTAGTCACCATCATTATTAATCTTAAAGCTCAAGAGATCATCATCAATGTAAGAATGCATCAAGATTCCAACTTTGGAGTGATCTTCATGCATGGTCATGAGCTAGGTGGTGCCAACTTTATATTTTTAATTGGTTTTCATGCAAAATTATCACGAGCTAGCTAATTAAATCAATCTCCACTCGAGTCGGCTCATTTGTTTGGACCTAAAATTAATTTGGGTTGTGAGCACCAAATAGGCATTTTAAATTTGTGATGCCATTACAAAGTGCGACATAATTCATGGAGCAATTCATCTTCTAACGTAACAAGTAAGTTTCTAAAGATATTTTTCATTTGTAACCGCTCAAATTCTTAATTATTAAGGTTTTGTCCACTTTGCCCTAATGACTTCATGATTTTGTCCCGTGGTGTAACTTCCAGGAGGTCACCCATCATAGGATAGCTCCCACATGAGCACATTTTATCTTGAAGTTTCTTAAAGAAATTCCAACAATAACACTAAAAGGCGCATCAATATTTAAGGGTTTAGATTCTTTCTACTTTAAGGGTTTCATAATCTCACATACTTTAGTAACTTACATCATCATCAATATCCTTATCTTATTATCATCCACCAGGCATATATGATTATAGATGTGACCCCCTTCAAGTTCAAGTGGTGGCTTTCACCATGTAGTTGTCCCACATAAGATTTAAAAGGTGGCCCCCATTGCATAGAACTTTGTCTTATAGGACAATTAATTCCCATCTGATGGCTTGTGTATTGCTTTGATACCATTTTATAGAAACCTAAACTCATATATATATATATATATATATATATATTGTCTACTTTGGCTTAATGACCTAATAGTTTTTTCTCGTTTGTGTGACTTCTCAGGAGTTCACACATCCTATGATTTTTCTCACATGAGCATGCTTAACCTTGAAGTTTCTTAATAAAATTATAACCATTACACAAAAAAGATACATCGATATTTAAGAGTTTAACTTCTTTCGACTTAATGGGTTTCACATCATCTTTCAATAAAATAAAAACAATTAATTATAATTTTATTTGTATTTCTTATAAATACCTAATGATGGTGAGGGTAAATGACATATGGTGATTGTTTGTTTACACGCCTAAGAGGAGGTGAATTAAGCTTTTGAAAAATTTAAAACGGGGGATGAATTAAGCTGAGGGTTTAGCTTTTACGACCTCCCTATAAAATACATTTATTAGTTGGAGACATTGCCTTTCTACTCTCCTGGGGGGATGGACTTTTCATTTCTCCAAGGGTAATAAGTTTCATGTACAAAAAGTATAGAGGTCAACACTCTATCGCCTAACTACAATATTTGAAAGTTATAATCCTAAGATCCCTCTAGTATCTTCACCTTCGGAGTAGTCCTGAAAGCCTATTTTTAAGACTCATTGGATCACACTTGTGATACTCTCTTTTGTCTTTATGAGTTGTGTGAAGACCCTAATCCTTTGATAATTAAAGAGCCATTAATAACATATAAATGAAACATAAGAAAATCTTAGCATGCATAAGAATCGGCCGCGGGGGGGGGGGGGGGAGCGCTGCGACATGATATATATGATTATTCCTCACATTTTGATTTGATCATTTTGTCGTTTCACCTACTATAATTATGCAATATTTTAACTAAACTAGCAAAAATAAAGGCACATGTAAATATCTTACTATTGTATTAGGTGTGAAATGACAATATGCATATGGTACAAATTCATGAATATGATCTGTCATATATACTGTTGCAGGTATATTAATAATATAATATTGAAATAATTTACATGATACATACATGCTTGTTATGCATTGCATATATTATAATTAATAAGAATGAAATATTAGTGTTTGATGCAAGAAAGACTTGCTAGTTATAGATTGATTCAGGTTTGCTAGAGCATGGTATTTTATACATGAGGGTGGGCCGACGAGTTTTCCTTTAAATTATAAGTTTATGATGTAATCCCAATATAAGATACAAGAGAAAGAGAGTTATAAGTGGATAAGATGTGCTGATGGGAAGGACTTACGACTCTCACAAGAAGCCACCTAAACACACTAACACACAATTATGATATGAGAAAATACATGAAAATACCATATAATTAGCTTGATATCCTAAATATGTATATACATACATGACATGATGACTATAGATAACATGAACATGCATAAGTTGTATAATACATGAGCTATATGATACATGAATATGATGCATGATATTGATACGTACTAGACATAGATATGTGATATATATGATACATGAAATTGGTACATATCAAATAAATAACATGGTCAAACATAGAAATGATATTCATGATGTTGATACACATTGATAACTAATATACTTAAATTACAAATGTATTTATCTTACGCGATTCCTATGATAGTCTTATTGTAGCACTGTTCTTGATATTTTGGATTGAACTGAGTCGATAATTGTTGATCATTTCATGATTACTTTTTCATCCTGATTGTCACTATTCATATTGAACATTATTATTTGTGCCAATGCTCTAATAATGATTTGAATGGTTGCATGAATATTTTTTATGCTTTTCTTACATTGGGTGCAATGGTATGTTCATGAGACCTACTAGACTTCTATGCGATTTTACATTATTTTAGGGAAAGGTAAGGACCCAATTATAAATATTTCTTGTGTATTTTGTATTTATTTTTATAATCATGAAAGTGTATTAAGATATAATGATTTAAAAGGTGTATTCATGGCTAGTCTAAATGATTTTTAGAAATGAAATGCATATGTTTTGATAATGAAAGACAACTTCTGTTGTGGTTGCTATTTTTTTATATGGATAATTATTAGTAGGTCTGAAAGATGATTATAATATATAAATGGCTAGGGCGTAACAAGTTGTATCTTGAATACAAACTCTTGATGTTTCATATTACCATATGCTTCTCTATTTAGATATTCAACTTCTCATAGTGCCTAATTTCTAATTTTTGGCATCATTTACGCTCATCGCACCTTTTCACGATGTTGTGTCCTAATTTATCAATGATGACATCTGAATTCTGGTTATAAGACTCACAATAATGAAGCTGAGAAAAGTTAGAAAAGAGAGAAAGAGGTAGAGATGACAAAAAAATTCTAAAGAAAGAATATCTAAGATTTTATAGCCTCAACAAAATACCTATATTAGTATATCTATTGAAATTACTATTGACTCTATATTTATAGAAAATTGAGGAAATATGAGAAGCTCCACTTATGTTTTAAATAAAAAAAAATAAAATATATAGATATAACATAACTGTTATAAACATTCATATATAATACATATGGACTTTTATCTTTGATGAGTGATGTGAAGAGATTGTTGATCGAGTAAATGAAGTTACCATTTTTTTGAATAAGCATATGTAACTTTCTCCTTGTGAATGTGCGAGTGGCCCCTCGAGCTAGAGCTAATTGTCCATCCAGCTAAAGCTAAGGCTAGTGGTCCTAGAGTGAGAGCTAATGGCCCCACAAGTTAAATGAGTAGCTCCTTGAGCCAATAAGAATGATCTCCTTCAACAATAAATTTTATTATTTTTAAAAATATTTTTTTAAAAATACATATTTAAAATACAATATAAAATTAATATTAATTCAAATAAATATCAATTATTATAAATATTTTACCAATCACAAAATTAATAAAAAATTAATCCAAAATATAACTGTACCCAGATAATAATATATGAACTGTCCACTAGTTTAAGAATAATAAAGCTATCAAAGTAAATACAACCGAGAAGAAGAAGAGAGAGAGAGAGAGAAAAAAAAAAAAAAACAAAAAACAAAAACAAAAACAAAAACAAAAAATGAAAGTTGGGTCATATTTTCTCATTCTTCTTCCGTCAGCAGCTTGCATCCGGCCATTCCCCCTTTCCGCCCTTCTCCAGAGAACGGTCTCCGCTTGATCCCATCCTAGGGTTTTCATCACAGCTCTCAGATCCCAAATCTCTCTTCCTTTTCTTGCTCTCTTATTGCAGATCTGGAGTGCCAGGGCATCTAGTTATTGAAGCTCCGGCATCGGATCGATCCGCCGTGCGGTTGCGGGTTTGATCCGATGGGATCGACGATGCGCGGCCTCTCCGTGTTTATCAGCGATATCCGCAACTGCCAGAATAAGGAGCTGGAGCGCCTACGAGTCGACAAGGAGCTCGGTCATATTCGAACACGCTTCAAGAATGAGAAGGTCACCTCCTCTACCCATTGCGTCAAAACTGTCACTCGACGAAAACAATAGTTACTATCGGAAATGTTTTTTTATTAGGATATTCAACAGAATTTGTTAGGTTCATGATTTACCTGCTATGTTTATCGGTAAAGGGCTAGAATTGGGAACTATTCTTTTTGAGTTTAGAAGGTAAGATGCCATTCGTGATGCAAGGAGCTCACTGCCTTAGAATTTTTTTTCTAAAGCCACTATTTGGAAGTAGATTGTGGCAGCAACCGCAACTGCACTTCATTCTAGGGAATGCCATTTTAAAATCTCTGGCTATGTTCTTTCCATTTGAGATGAGACTCGGTGCCTTGTTCTTCATGTAGAATTAGGATGATTAACAAATCAGAGTTTTTAAAATTGTGTAATAAAATACGTGCTTTGACAGTGCACCTAGGAGTGAGAGACATGCAACGCAACTTGGGGCTATAGCATAACGTGATGAATAAGAGACATATGCCTCAAACAGTTGAGGCACACCTTAACGCCCTTTGAAAGAGGCAAACCTCTATTTTCAGTTCTTAATGTGTTGTTTTAGGGGTTGTTTGGTTGGCTGGAAAAGGAATATAATGTTAAACGAATGCAATGTAAAAGAAATATAGTGTATTTGAAATATTTTAGAGTTGTTTGGATGGGTGTAAAATAAATGCAATTGATTATTATTTTTGTTGTTTGACTTAAAGTAAAATGAATGCAGTGTAAAATCCAAAGATTGTGGTAGTTAGTGGTCGGTGCTAGGTCGGTGGTGGCCGATAGTGGAGGCGGTGGGTGGTTGTTGGCGGAGGGGCGGTTTTCGATGGCTGGCGGCTGCAGCTTCTATTGGTGGTTGTTTGTGGTGGTCGCCACTAGTAGTGAGTGGCGTCATTGACGATGAATTTATGGTGTATTTGGATATCCTGCAATTTGAGGAATTCCAACTATATCAAAATTGAACCATATGGTGAGTACAAACTGCACCAAATTTTTACACTACATTTGTTGGACCTCTGACAAAACACAAATATTCTCAAACCCCCTATAGTTGGAATACTTTACACCCATTTTACTGTAAAACAACAACCCCTTAATTTAATACTCACAACCCAAATGATCCAAATGCCTTTTTTAGTTAAAAAAAAAAAAAACTATTTTGCTCTAATAATGTACCAAACATTACAAACTAAACCTTAAATCATAAAAAAATGTGAAGCCAAGTGCCTCATGTTTATGTTTGTTGAGGAACCAAAGTCAAATGCAGTTGTTGGGAATTGTGGTGAAACTGAAGTCGAATGGTAAGGATAAATAGCACCAACGCTTCCATGCCTCAAGAAGCATCAAGATGTCGTTGTGGTGCTAATGCTGCTATATTCTTTAACCCTTATATTTGCCCACATTTCTACTTTTCTCTTCTTTCTATCTTAATTTGTATTCATTATTCTTCTCTTCATTTTATTTGTTAGTTTTTTTCTTCTCCCCTTTTTATTCTATGTTGTGGATATGTTTTTTTGCTTTTGGTTATTTTGAAAATGGTGAGAGCCTCTGCAAAGAATTCTATGAGAAATGTTGGTCACAATCGAAAAGATCCGATATGGAAGTATTAAAGCTGTGTCCAAGTATAATTTTTGGGGAATGGGAAGACATTTTTATTTGAAATATAATTGTTATCAGAAAGAAGTTAAATAAGGCTTTACAAGAATGAAAAAACATATTTTGATTGTCATAAAACTGTTGCACCATATACAAAAGTACTTGAGGAAGTTAGTGAAAAAAATGTGTTTACATGAAGCATCTGATGATAGAATTGATAATGATTCTTATGGTAGCAGTAAATATTCTTCTTCTTCTAGGCTATAAATCTCCAATAGAGGTGGGGGACCTATAGATTAGTTGATGAGAATTTGGAGAATGAAAGAAAGCTATACAAGGGAAACCCCACAAATGGTTATACAAAATACTAATGACTTTGTAATCTTGTTTGTACTAATATTGGTAGGTTCTTTTTTGAGAATGCAATTCATTTTAATGTGATAACATCTCCATCTTATTTTATCATGTGTCATTCATAAGAATCCGCCGGGGGTTGGGGGGGGGGTGATAAAGAAGCATCTAACATTACTTTGATTTCAAAGGTTGCTAATGTCAGAGAAGAAGAAAATATTCTTGAGTTTTTTAAAGTCTTTTTTTCTTATGCAACTAGTCCTCCAATTTTGTGACAATGAATCAAAGTTATTAGTAGGGAAAGTCTCTTCCAAATATTTGAAAGCAATAGAAGAAGATATTAAAATCATAATCAATTTCTTCATTGCACATATCACAAATAATGGATTGAATAATGCCTTTGTCGAAACAAAGATATTTGCTATGAACTTTTCTCTTATAGATAATCAATATAGTGCTGTAGTTTTAGAGTGAACTATAGAGTTCCAAATCTAAGATCCAGAGTGATAATGAATACCTCCATTCATTAATAAAAAATTAAAAGACATGATCGAATAGAAATCATCAATAGACAAGCTATATAGGAACATCATGGTTATTTTCAAGGGGGGTTGATGAGAGAGAGTGAGAGTAAAAAGAACCCTTCTTGCAATTTAAGAGGAAAGGAGCAATTCTCATCAGAGAAAATATGCCTACCAACCTCAGGTATATCCTGAGAAGCAATAGAATTGTTACTATTCCTTGAAAAGACAAAGAGTTTATTGATTAAAGAGGAAGCAAGAAGTCATTCAATCATTTATTTTTCTAATAGTTGATGTTTTTACCATTATGCACTGACTATGAATTAGTAACTCCTTCAATAAAATTGGAAGCTCAAGAAATTTTGTTAGTTTAGTAACTCAGAAGGTGATTGAATTGTTCCAAATGATATTACCAACAAAGGATTATTTGTTAGTCAGAAGAGAATTTCTACCCCATTTACTAAAGGGAGAGATTCATCACTTGCAAGTATTTAATTTTAAGACCACCTCAGTCCCTAGGTCTGCAAACATTCCTCTGCAAAAATCAACAATTACCTCTTAAAGGCCAATGCTTGAGTTTAATTTGTGCAATATGTGTTCTTGCATGTTTATGTCAGCCTAAAATCAACTTATCTATTAACATACAAGTGAAACTACCAAAGGAACTTAACATGTATCAATCCTTATAGGCAAATCCACAATCTGTACTAGGTTTGGAATGTTGTGAAATAGCATCTAATAATTCCATTAAGTCCCTTCGAAGTTTTTCCTTATAAGGCTAGTAGTTGGCTCTAGAACAAGCTAATCTATTGGGCTTGCATTACTCTTGCATAAAAAAATTCTTAAATAAATCTCTTTGTTTGCATTGACAATTTCTATAGGCATCAATGTTAAGACAAGTGAATTTAGGTTTAGTCCCATATCAATTAGTTGAAAAATAAGTTGGTGTAGAAATATTAGGTAGTTGGCCTTCACCCTAAACACCGTTTGACCACTTCTGTATTTAGCCCAACTTTGATTTCCTTTATTTCATCCTCAGTAACAAGTGCTATTAAAGCTAATAGTTTAGATGATCGAGTCGTTCATATTTTTTTTGGCTTCCATGGGTCTTGCGTGGGTTCTACCATGGTTTTAAAAGGTTCAAGGGCTAGTGACCTCATAATGCTTCCTTGTAGTTGAGTAAACCTTTGGCGTATTGTAGTTGATGATTTTTTACAAATTTACATTTGATGAGAGTGATAGTTTGTGTGGAGAGCTCTCACATGACGGGAGATTGTTAAATCTCATGATGCTTTGGGTTAGTCCTACATAAATTAGTTGAAAAACAGATTGGTGTAGAAATATCAAGTAGTTATCTAGCACATTGGCATATTTAATCTAAATTTGATCCCATTTGATTCATTTTCCCCATCAATCAACAGCTGACTCTTTGAATTTATGCTTGAAGTCAAAGAAGGTGGTTTCACTTACCGGAAGAAACACAAGAAATAGGATGACAAATGGATGTTCAACTTCCTGATTGAATGAGGAGTTGGTTGAATATCTTTAAATTTCAGCATACAAGAGACAGTTAATCATTGATATTAATAGTTAGCTAGCTTTTAGCAGCTTCTGTTTAAATTTGAAGTATATTTATTGATTATGTGGCAATTGCGTATTCGTTGTGTGTAAGTATTTGGAAGTTGTTATTCAAGCTTCAAGTGGTTAGTCTATAATGCTGGATGGTTAAAAGATGACTGTTGGCCTCAATAAGATCCTTCTTTTGTTTGAATTTCATTCTTGAAATCTTTTCACATATTCCTTTGGACCATGGGTGTTAGTAGACACAACAGAATGTATTAAGCTGGCTAGAAGCATGCGGATCATGTTTGTTCAACTATAGCATTCACTGATGAGAATTTTACCAATAAGCAGGGCTTGACTCCTTACGAGAAGAAGAAGTATGTGTGGAAAATGCTTTATATCTACATGCTTGGTTATGATGTGGATTTTGGTCACATGGAGGCAGTTTCTTTGATATCTGCACCCAAGTATCCAGAGAAACAGGTATTTTCTTGCTTATATTTTAATGCTAATTATGGTGCTTGTATTTATATTTAATCATCATTGCAGTCACTTTTGTCTTCGTTGATTTTCTCTTGGTCTTGTCCTTAATTTTTGATAAATCTTTCTTGTGGTCATCGGTAGGTAAAAAATGAATCTTAACTGGATTCCAAATAACACTAGTACTTTTATTTCCCTAGTTCTTTTACTATCACTATTTTATGATTAAGGCTTTTGGTTGAGCTTTTCTCCTATTTTACTTTTCGAAGGAAAAAAATAAAGAACAGCTTCTGGTTTTTGTGGAATTGTTTTCGAATTGAGCCATGAGCTGCTAATTTATTTCTCTTTGAAGTTCAACTAATGGATTGGTTGTGCTGGTTAGAGCTATATCAGGATGTCGATGAAATAGGTTACTGTTGAATAGGATTTAGCTGAACCAGACTGATCCGTTGCAGTTATTTGTTCAACCAACTTTGGTTTAATTATTTCTAATTGAACTAGAGCTTTATGGCTTTTTTTTTAATTCGAGCTTTATAGCATGTTCATTTTTATTTCATCAAGATCATGCTGCTTGAGGTTAATCAAGCTTGCTTAGATGTATTTGAGATAAATTTGATGTAGCCAAAACTATCTATCTATAGAACCTTAGCATTTTTGTTTTCGTTTTGACAAGAACATGTTGCTTGAGCCATGAGCTGCTGGCTGATAATATTTTACCATGTTGGATCATTCAAATATCATATGATTTATAGTTATAATGGAAATAATTAATTTTCATAGTTTAAATTTTAACGTAAGTAACAACAATTTATTAAACAAACTAGGTCATCATTTGTGGGGTGAATCAGCATATAATAATTGTTCTGTTTTCTGCAAGTGTCTTGGTGGAATGTTGATCCGAAGTTGCATTTGGGTTTTTGAAGATTATATGCAGATTGTGGAATCACTTCTCCAGTCAGCCATTAATATGATTTTTTTGCATCATGCTATAGGTGGGATACATTGTGACATCTTGCTTGCTCAACGAAAATCATGACTTCCTCAGAATGGTTGTAAATACAGTTCGGAATGATATAGTTGGCCGCAATGAAACTTTCCAATGCTTGGCGCTTACCATGGTATGTAGTAGCTTTTCTATGTTTCCCGTCTCATCTTTTGCAAAATTGTACTAATCTTTTGAAGGAATCTTTCATATTATCTCATAGTTGTAGCTTCCCTTGTAATACTGATTTCCTAATTAAGTTTGTGGTTGATTTGAATCAACTTTATTTGTGATAATTGGTGCAATGGTTATTTGCTTGATTCCTTTATTGAGATGAAGCTTGTGAGTTGTGATTTCCTATGATGTGAGCTGTATGAACACTAGAAGTAGTGATGCATGAGTATATTTTCATGCTTGCTCTTTGTACATCTACTCAAATGTGGCGGAACTAATTCCCTCAAAAGGTCGCCATGTGCATATGCACAACTACTTGTTGACATGCACATCTGAGTAAATGCAAGCATATATACTAGCTAAACATATGGTGAAATGTCTAGGCGTGCTTGAACATTATTTTACATGTATCTTTTAATACAAGATTGAGCTATTATGAAGAAAATGGTTGAGGTCTAAGACATACTCATACTTCTGAACTATTTACTACCTGCAATTATAGCTATCTATCTTAATCATGTTTAGTTTTATGAAAGATGATGAGCTTTAGTAAAACTGCGAGTGGGATTTGGTCTTTAGAAGATGTGATGTCAAACAGACTCGAATTTACTCAGATGTTGTTTTAACATCAGATTTATAAATCAGAGATGAATATTAGTGAGTTGTACCAAGAATTGCCTTGTTCAAGCTTGGTTTGATAAATAATAACCGAGATAAAGGGGCTCAATCTTAATTCAAGCTTGAAGATCCCATATAAACTTGTTTATTCACTTTTAAGCTTGAAGCCATTTGAAGCTTTAAGCTGGAGAAATTTTTGGTTTGGATTTTCTGACAAATTTTTGCTCAGAATAGGGTTCAAAATCATTGGATTTGCTTTAAGATAATTGCAATATAAATTCTGCATGAATTGCACTCTTGTTAAAGTAGATTCAATGATTTTGAATTTCATCCTGATAAAAAAATCTGGGCAGGATACTTTAGGCAATTTTTTTTCCAATTAAGCTGGGTTTCATTCAGAAGATTTGGTTTGATGTAGTTAAATGAGATTTTAGCTCACTTAAGTTTTCTATGTTGATCATATATCTTTAACAAATGAATTGATCACTGCTTTATTGAAGTTTGACTGTTTTATCTGTCTAAAAAACCAAATTAATTTGGAAACAGAAGAAGATGTTGGTTCAATAGTAAAAGAATCGGACATGGGATATGCTGGTGAGGGAGTACGCCTGTGCTGAGTGAGTGCTGCTGGGTTCCTAAAAAAGCTTGCAGTTTTCAATGAGATTTAGCTAAGACGTATGCTATCACAAGGCGCCACCAACAACTTTGCAAATGGAATACATATGAGATAATCTCATAATTGAGTGCTAACAAATTATTAATATTTAACCGATTAAGTAAATTCTAAATGACCACTTTTAGAATGTTATCAAAGTATTTAAATAATAAACCACCGGGCACAGGGTTATGATTGTTATTGCCATTTGTCTCCAAAGCTGAGCTCATAATTTTTGTTTTTACGATGTTTCTTTCAAAGTTTTCTTATACTTCTCCAATGAACTTCAAATGCAAACAAGCCATAATGAACCTATATACTGAGCATTTTATGAATTCTAATGTAACGCTCACTTGGTGAAATTAATGGAAAACTGAGGTTTTTCTCTCTTTTTCTTCAGACTAGTGAAGTGTTTTTTTAATAATTTTTTTTAATTTTTGTTTCTTTTAGGCTTCCATTGCATTTTTACGTTGCAATTGTTTCACCAAAACGAACCAATCGATATGATACTGATTCAAAGCTTATCTAATCTGTTGTCTCATGCTTACTTTGTTTGTATGTGATATATTCCATTGTTTCTTTGATGTATAGTTCATTAGAATGATTTGTTGTGGAAGTGCTAACTGCTTGGCATGTGATACTGATTGGTTCATTTTGAATCTTGCTGTAATAAGGAACTTGGTTTGTAAGCATTTCCTAACTACTTTGAAACACATAATTGTTGTAATAGTTTAAAATGCAACCTTTTCGGACAATCTTGATCTAGTCACCAGTTCACTGTTACATGACCTTGTAAATCTGGTTAATGGTTGGTGGGCAGAGGTGAATGAAAATGGAGAGGGAAATTAAAATGCACCTTTTTCTTTTCTAACCATCAACTACTATGGTAGATTGGTATAGATTTAGTTAACTGCATTTCGAGAGGGATATAAATTTATCCACTACTAATGATGGATGGTTAGGAGGGAGAGATGGTCCTTTATGTAGGGAAAGAGAAAGAGAGAAATAGAGAGAGAAGATGTTTGGCCAGTAGAATTCAAAGTGCTATTCCATGTTGGAGATATGAGTGTAATCTTAGTTTTATCCATCTCCCGACGGATGATTTATCTAATATTCCTTCTGCTTTCACACTTAGTTGTCTTCCCACTTTCTTATTGATTGGATTAATGGGCACATCTTTTCTTCCTAGTATGCATCTTTTAATCACTGCCTGCCATATCTTATCTTTCTTAACAATGCTTGCAAGAAGAAAGAGGGGGGGAGGGGTGGGGTGTTGAATTAAGCGAGCTTCATGATGTTAAAAGACAACAACAACAACAACAACAACAACATCAAGCCTTTATCCCACTACGTGGGGTCGCTACATGAATCATTTTTCTCCATTGTGTCCTATTAAAAGTCATGATGTTAAAAGACAATAGTAAAAATAAATTGTGCCATTGCATTGAGGAAAACGGAGGCATAATGCCAATTTGGCGCTGGTTTAGGTTAATGAGTGCTGGATCTTGTTTAGATGAGCTATGCGGTGTTTCAATTTCATCATTAGGTCAGCGTCAGCCTCATCTAGACAGTTCAGCTTTGGCTATAGTTTATGTTTTACAAGTGCTACCATTGGCCTACACCTTCTCCAATCCAACTTGTTCATGATAATCCTTTTCCCTCATGCCCTGCTCATTAGTGCTTCTTTTTATTGTTGTACATGCTCAAACTCATCAGTGCTTTTTATTGTTTTACATGCTCAAACTCATCAATCTTTTTTTTCTTACGTTCTACTCCTTGGATGCATGCATGGATTTTAATGATGTTATTTTTCCTTGGTGCAATTTTGACCAAGAAACGAACTCCTCCTGTAATTATGTAGAAGGATGCTTGGTTTGTTTACCTTTTCTGATTGACCTAAACCATTACAGGTGTTGATTTTGATCATTCCCATGGATTTTTACTGGCGGTTATTTGATGCCTATTTGACTGTGGTTTCAACTCTCTGTAAACTTCTAAATAAATAGCGTATTTTTAGATGCATTACTCCTTGTTGTGATTGTGAAGAACACGTACATTAATTGTCAAGGATTTGACTTCCTCAAGTCTCATCCCTGATATATATATATAAGCTATACGAATAAATTTGACAGTATTCTTTAATCCAATTAGAATTAGTTAATGCTATTTAAAAGCATTTGAAGCTTGGTTATTCTGGTGGTTTATTGTAGTTCATGATAACAAGTTGCGTGTGCCTGTGAATAAGAGGATTTTGAATTTTGGTTTCTGCGTAAAGCACTTTAACAAGCTTCACATTTACTGGGTTACAATCAAAACAATAAATAAGTTTTATTGTCCAATTTTTGCTTAAATTGGCCAAAATAATTACCTTACTTAGAATTAATATAAAATCTATAAAAGAAATTGAAGCTTTTTTTTTCTTCATCAGGTTGGCAATATTGGCGGAAGAGAATTTGCAGAATCGCTGGCACCTGATGTGCAAAAACTTCTTGTAAGATAAAACTCTCTTTTACTTTAGTCTGTGTTTGAATGATTTAATCTAATGGTTCTCTTATTTCATTTAGGTCTCTAGTAGCTGCAGACCTCTTGTTCGAAAAAAGGCTGCGCTTTGTCTTCTTCGCTTGTTTAGAAAGAATCCTGATGTTGTTAACGTAGATGGATGGTATGCATTTGTTATTTAAAAGCATCATAATGGAAGTTGTTTGATTTGCAAGTGTGACTTTTTTTCTTCATGCTTTTAGGTCGGATCGCATGGCGCAACTTTTAGATGAACGTGATTTAGGTGTCTTGACATCCTCCATGAGCCTTCTTGTGGCACTTGTATCAAATAATTCTGATGCATACTGGAATTGTGTTTCAAAATGTGTGAAGATTTTAGAGCGTTTGGCTAAAAATCATGATGTTCCCCAAGAGTACACCTATTATGGAATTCCATCTCCATGGCTTCAGGTTTGGTTATCTTTTCCGTGAGCTTCATATATATATATATATATATATATAACAATGCACATGTACACAATTTTGACACCATTTTCATTAGTCACACCAACACAATTCTTGTTGTCACATCGGCAAGGGATACCATTGCTCCCCTTACTGAACATGATTGTGGGAACCGTTCGCCAAATTCAATTACTCTTCTTTACCCACTTGTCTTGCTCACAACTTTGTCTCCGGCACTCGCATCACTCTCATCTCGTGCACATTCTAATTGTACAAAGAAGGTTATGACTACTGTTATATAATCACTCTCACAATCTTTAGCTTTCTAAAAAAATCATATATCTTACTATTTATGCCATCTTCTCTCTCTCTCTCTTCCCAAACCCCACCATTCTCTCTTCCTCTCTCGACACCACCTCCACTTATCATGCATAATGTAAGTGCTGTCTTTTTTTTTTTATCCCTGGTATCTAATAACTGATTCTCTATGCTCTTTCTTTTGTGGCTTCCCATCTCTCCCACTTTAGCTCTATCTTACTTGACTCCAGCATACATTTCTCACATGAGATCTCTGGTGCCCAAATTCAATATTATTGAGCCCAACCTTCTCAATTTATCCAATTCCTAATTGCACTTGTTGTCTAGCATCTCCATACAACTTTGTGCTGGGTGATTCCCTTCACAGACAAATGCAAGGATATAAAATTTCAAGAATTGTTGATTTTTAGCCGAATTAGTTTGAAGACCATGCCATTGATCTTCGATCTTGCATCTCCTTCAATGATTTTCAATGCGGGTTCAAGGGGATAAATGCTCGGCTTCCACGACCAAGCCTAAACCTGACGGTAGTTTCATTGCTATTAGGTAGTGCCACTTTAATATTGTCAACATGCTCATAAAGTCTAATCAAAGGTTTAACAGGATGTTGCCGTTATCATTGAAACCATTAATGAGAAGGGGAACATATTGATAAAATGCTTATGTTCAAGACTTGTGAAGAAGAACATCACTCAAAATGAAAGACATATTGATTATAAAAATTTTAAAATAAAATTAATCTAAAAAATATTTGAGTTGGTGGATTCTAGCGGGAAGCTATGATTAACTTCAAATAAACTTAATTATGATATTGTGTGAAACACACAAATATGCGAAATATGTACTAGTAGCACATAAGCGCCAATTATTTGTTCGGACATTGATAATTATGCCAACATGTTAAGAAGCATATGCCATAAGATCTTTATGGAGTTAAGAAATCTTAGACGTAGCTTGTATGTCTAAATACAATGTACGAGAAATCACAATTTGAGCACTGTAATGAAAGTAATGCACTAATACACTGAAAGATTTGTTGAGCCATAATTCATTAAATATACGTTTAAATGATATGAATTAATATTAACTGTATTGTATGATTATAAACTACTCACAAGTGGATATGTAATCGAAGTAATTATGAAAACTCGATTTGATTTAGTTGATTCTCAATTGATTTAAAGTTCTTGGTGAGTAGCTACCATTAAGGCATATTGCTTAAAGCATGAGATTATATGAGTTATCCTTGGGACATTCTAACTTTAGCGACACATGCATGTTGGATTTTCCTTCAACCTAGGGTTATTAGTCCAGGTATTTAGGCCTTCCCAAAAATAATATTTATCAGTTCTGATACTCTTATCAAGGTTCATAATAACTATTCAAAGTAAATTCTTATGCCTTCCATTGCATGTTGACCACATTCTAACCTAATTAACAAGGTTGCTGCAAAGCTAGCAGGCCCATCAAGCTAAATCAATTGGGAAACTTTACTTATATGGTAAGTTTGTTAGATTTTTTATTGGTCATCCGTTTTTCTTGAGGTTGTAAGCATCGTTGTGAACCTTCTAATAGATGTAAGCTCCAACTTAAAGTAAACTCTAGCTAATTCTCATGTTAATAAGTCCATCTATCAAACCTCTCTATTAGATGTCAACCTTTTGCCTATTTGATAAACATCTTTTTTGTATGGAACAAAGCTTATCAATAAGCCTTTTACAGTAGCATTCACTGATCTCATGAAAGTCGTTATTATTATACACGATTGTCTTAGTGGAGTCGTTCAATGGATTACTTTCTCAAAATAACAAAGGTAAGAAAGAAAACAATCTTTATTATATATGCCAATGAGTAATATAATAGGTATTGAGTATAAGTACACTCCCTTTGCGGAATAGTGATTGATGCTAATATTTGTCACACAAATACTCCTTCATTGTACGTTGACCCCTAAGAACTGTAATATCTAAAGTGGACCCGCTCAAACTTTCAAGTACTAGACCCTACAGTAGTTGGCCAACTAAATGAGCAAGTCCTTAAAGTGGAAGAGGCTAAATAACCTCAAGAATGGAAGAACTATTTTGATGGAACTTCAGCAATATGACCAACCAAACCACCAAATCTACCAATAATATGGATTGGGTTGGTTTCATTCTCATAATGCCATAAGGAGGCATTCTTCAATATTTTTAAGGTCTATTTGAACCTTGTGCAAGTAATGAGTTCAAATATGAAGCCTTAATAATATAGTTGACTCACAATCAGAATAAAATTAAGAAGCTTCATATATACAAAAGCTCCGAACTTATACTAAAAAAATAGCAAACACATAAAAAATTAACAAACTTGAATTAGCCCTTACTATAAACGTGCTTTGGAACTTCTACGACAAACCCTGGACGTAACTTCCTCAATAGTTGCACATCATGAAATTGTTGAAGTTGATTTACAGCTAAATTAGCTAAGAAAATGATGAATACTTCAGAGGATCAACTCATTATAATTGTCCAACATAAGCATATATTGGCGTTGAATTTTTATAAGCTATGGAAATCGAAGAAACTCTAGAGACTCTAGCATTAAATGACTAGGTTTATTGAGGAACTTGTCCTTGCCTATTTTAAAGAGGGTAGAGATAATGAGATGACAAAATAACATAAGCTGTATGGCTTATTATGCCACATATAAAACTATGAGATAGGTCACTACATACTCCTTTGTGTTTGGGACAAGCAATACTCCCCGAAGCATGAGCTATCTTCACTTCATATTGCCATCCAATATTGACTCACACAAGAAGAATACTCCCGCCTAAGGCTTACAGCCCTATATGAACTTTAGTTTCAAGCCAACAAAATTTTGAAGGTTGCAAGGCAAGGATGACCCAATCCCATGATTGTATAATCTGCCCTGAAAACTTCAAAGTAGGTGAATTAGGTTTTGTTTTGTTGGCAACCCACTATTCCCTATTGTTATATTGATGAGAAATTTCACCTAAATTAGGAAGGATCTTTCATCATTGAGAGGGCCTGCTAATAACATTACCTTTGACTGTCTTATAAATCTCAGTTACATTCTAATCCTTTCGTATTATTTTCTTAGGTTATCTTGCTGTTGGTTTCTTTGTTTTCCTTTATATATACATACCATCTTAACTTGATTCTGTTACTTTTTCTGTTGATGACTCCTTCCAATCGCTTTTTCTCGAGCACATCTTTCTTAGTAACTTTATTTTTGTTGTATTAAGTAAATAACTTCGAAACTCTTTTCACTGCAACTTTTACTCTATAAAATGCAGCTGTTCTATATTAGCATATTGAAAGAATATAGTTATCTTATAAGTTGCAAAGCCTGAAAATATTAGCTTTTGGGTTGGTGCTTCTTTTCTTGTATCTTTGCCTGCTCCTCTTGTTACATCTGCTAGTTCAAAAGCTCGTAGGCTTGTGTTTGAGACGAGGCTATAGACCATGGGGAGTAGTAAAGGTCAAAAATTTATGAAACAGCCTTATGTTGAATAAAATATGGTATTTTCTTATATGGTTGAAATGTAATGTTGCAGGTTAAAACAATGAGAGCTCTCCAATATTTTCCAACTATTGAAGATCCAAATACTAGAAGATCCTTGTTTGAGGTGTGATGCCTTTCTTCCAACATTTGTGTTCCTAAATATTCATCTTGTGCTATGGACATGTTTTTACTTACCTATAACTTAATTTATTTTTGTAGGTTCTTCAACGCATTTTGATGGGGACTGATGTTGTTAAAAATGTTAACAAAAATAATGCATCACATGCGGTTCTGTTTGAAGCACTTGCCTTGGTAAGTTTGCACCATAGAATTTCACATCCAACTTTTAAAGTATATTTGATTTTCAAATTTTTCTGACCTATGGGAGTAGAGATGTCATTATTGGATGAAATCTCTTCCCAAAATTAAGTGGATTGAATTAAGAAAGTCTTAATGGAGATTGAAATCAACATTAAAGGAAAAGAGCAAGGGGTGGCCGGCGGTGGGGGTTAAGGAATTTGGCTTGGTCGGAGTTTGGAGCAAGTGGAGGGGAAAGCTAGTGGTTGAGGGGAGACAAGGGGAACGTCCGGTGGGGAAAGGCTAGCCGGTGGTGGGGGTTGGGGGGAAATTGATGACAGGATTAAGGATGGTCAGTGGTGGAGTAAGAGGAGGAGACGTCAGACCACAAGCCCCGGACACCTCCGGCGACTGGTGGGTATTGCTTTGCCCATGCCTTGGGACTTCACCACTCAAGAACTCACAAGCTCTAGAGAGAAAACAAAAAATTTAATTTAATTCATCAATCCCATACAATGCAAGAGGCCTCCTATAAATAGGCCCAAATAGAAGAAAACTGAAAAGACGAAAGTGCCCTTGGGCTACAACATAGACTCACTCCCCCATAGGGGTAAAATGGGAAAACTCAAATGCAACCTAATACATAAAATAGAAAATTCATAAAAAGTACAAACTCTGAATCGTAGCCATTGACCTACGATTCCTCTGATGGTACACATCTTAATTTCTGATAGATGTTGAGGGAGCTTTTAGTTCTCAAAAAATTTCAGCTTGGGAAATTGTGACAGATTTTTTTTCATTTTTCTTTCTTCCTCTCAAACTGGGCATGCAAGACCAGAAAGCAGGTTTTGGGCCAGCTGGGAGAACTAATGAGAAAGGGAGGAGTTTTCTTTTGGCTTTAGCTTTCCGATAGGAGGTATACAGGAGACAAGAAGAGTCTTTGTTGTCCATTTTTGAAGAGGAGGGGTTTGTGGTTTGTTAGCTGAAGTTCAATTAATATCCTAACTCTTCTCTTCTCTGCGGTTCCACCTACTCGTCACACCTTCATATCCCATTACTTATTCACTCTTGTTGTTCCCCACCTCTATTCATGCTCCATTCTTTTTCTTGTTTGCTAATCTGAGAGGCTACCAAATTCAAGATGTCAACTCCAACAAATTGGTGGTGGTGACGACATGTGGGACAAACCAAGCATCCATGACAAGAAGCTTCCTTTCAATTGAGTTCATCTCTACTAAACCAAGGTACTGTGGCCAATGACCATTGAACATTATTTCAATGAAGAAAACCTAGGAATATTGGCCTTTTGCGGATATGTATGATGGTCTCGACCAACCTTAGTTCCTTCAAATTTCCCTTAGCTTAGGTTTTTCTAACCTAATATTTGTTGTTCTCTTTGTTTATCCATGGAAATCCAATGATTTCTCATGGAAGGTTCTCATTTAAGAATCCAAACAAGGGGACAATGAAGCGTCGGGTTATTGGATTCGGATTTGTTGTCCCCCTCTTGCACAAAATTGCATCTATGTTGGACCTAGCCTTCTATCTACATCAAACCATAAGTTTCCTTGTGACCATTGGACCTCCATTAAGTGAGTATGCACTTGTTTAATTTACTCAAGTTGCATTTCATTCCAATTAAGATTTAGATTATGACAAAATAAATATAAAATGTGATAGGTATCTTTTGTGCTAGGGTTTTCATTTCCCTAACAAATTTTTGGAAAATTATTAATAGTTATTTAATGCTAAACACTTATGAAACTAATTTGGGATGTTTTATGGGCCCTCAAAAGGCCCATAATTTAAATTCCATCATATTTTGAATTATTTAAGCCTATTTATTAATTTTCAAATTAAATTATTGTTGAAAATTTTTAATTAAATATGAAAATTTTTATGTGATGGTCAATAGATTGTGCTAAAATTTATCTTGAGACTCTTTTAAAATCATAGGATCAATTTTTTTATTTCAAATGAATCCAAAATATATATATAAAAAGAGAGGAACCTTTCTTAGGATTCCACTCTCTCCACCAGCGGTGCTTTGAAGCTTTATTACATGAACCATTTGACCTCTTTGGATCCAATTTATACATGACAAATCTAAAGGTTGCTTTGATTTGAGTTGAACTAAATTTAACGTAAATCATCGCTATCTAGCCTCTATTTATTTGGTGTTTTCTTGGACTCCCAAGAGGTTGAGGGAAGCATGCGCCCAGGGAGAATTAGTGAAAGTTATGGCCGTTAGGTGGGAAATGAATGTAACGGGTTTGGTCTTGGTCATATCCAATTAGTTAAGTCATATACCTGTTTTTAATTTACTTTAAATCATAGAAGATAATCTAAAAAAATAATGATCTAGTTAAAGAAAAAACTCATTAGTTCTTCATTTTTTTTAACCGAGACTTGCTGGTATTGAAGTTATAGAAAAGAAACGCCCGATAATTTCCTGGAGCCTGAATATTATGTTCGTGGAGAAACTTATAAATTTTCTATTTATGAGGCCAAACCTCAAGCTATTTAGGATGTCTTTTCCTGTTATGCTACTTCTGGAGCATGGTTTCAAAGTTTAACCTTTTATTGTGTTTATTTAAAGCAGATTTTTTGCCCTACCATTTAAATTATGTAACCAATTAGTATGATCTACTCAACTTCACTAATGCATATTGAGATATTATTTCAGTAATGGCATTCTTATATTTTGAGTGATTTATGAATGGGCATCTGCTGATATATATATATATATATATATATATAACTTTGCTAAGGGTTCTTAATGAGGGAGCAGCTGAGCAGTGACATCTTTATGCTTGAAATGATTCTGATGAGCAATTTCACATTTTCCTTTCTGATTTATGAACATTATTTTTATATAATCCTTTTTTTAGTTGCTTTCATAAATGCTATAGCTTACCTTTTTGTTCCCCATGGAGAGTTTTACTCTGTTTTATAATGATTCATAGACCTTATTAATATATCTCCTTGCTTTTTGTGTAATAGCATTTGTGCTACTCATGATTATTTTTAGCCCCTATTAGTAATTTATAGTATTGCTTCTGGAATAGGTGTAACGGAATCTAACTTCTTGCATATAATTAATCCATCTTTGTACCTATAGGTTATGCATCTAGATGCTGAAAAGGAGATGATGTCTCAGTGTGTAGCTTTGCTGGGGAAATTTATTTCAGTTCGAGAACCGAATATTCGTTATCTTGGTCTTGTAAGTATTGAGGAATGTTCATTGAATGATATTGGTTAATAATAAGTGATGATAGAATATCTGGTTCAAACTTAGATAACCGACTTGTGAGTGCCATGCATGTAACTTTGCATTTGGAGCAGGAAAACATGACAAGGATGCTGATGGTCGCTGATGTGCAAGATATAATCAAAAGGCATCAAACCCAGATTATTACTTCCTTAAAAGATCCTGATATAAGGTGAATTTTTACCATAGTGCTAACCTTGAATTGAATTATGTTGAAAAGCAGGCTTTCTTCTTCTCATTTCTCATCAGTTTCTCTTGTCTAACGTTTTACTCCTATGAAAGATCCTAGTATCTGTTAAAATTCACATCATGATATGACAAGTTGATTCGTGTGTTCACACATGCATCGTATGCTGTAATTCAAAGGTATCTTTTTTTTTTTTTTCTAGGTTCTGCCTTTAATTTTGAATGGGATTGAGAAAAGTGAGTAATTTTACAAATTTTTCCTTAAAACACTGGCTGAAGTAAGATGAGTTTTGCTAATCATACTTTTTGTCATAGTTTTAAAAATCAAACGAGACCTGCTAGTTTGACCAATTCAGCCATGAACCGATTAGATGGCTGGTACGATCCAACTTAAGAACCTGCTTTGCATCAAGCTGGGCTGAACTGACAAGAACTGTTGGTTCAACCGTTGAACTAGTCCCGATTTTTTATATCCGGTCAATTCAAATGTTTTTTATTTAATTGATTAAACAAATTAATTTAATATTAAATATAATATTAAACCAAATAAATTAATATAATTATAATATATTAAAACTTTTACATGAGTATTAAGTATAATTAGGACTTACCAAAGAATAGCATTCAAACTTTCTCACATGAACCCACCACTCCATGTGAGTTCCTATCGTATGCAAAAGCGAAAAGCTATATAAACTATATAAAATGAAACTTCGAAGTTATGTGTGACTAAATAATTGATGCAGGCAAACTAGAAAGAAAGAGTCAAAAGAGGAGAACACCGGGGCTAGTAGAACATAACTCAACTCAAACTAGAACGCATACATCCAAACAAACACCAAAACAAACTAAAGCCAAACAAACGAAATAAAATTAAAATAAAAAAACACTACCCTCAGAATAACCGGCAAGCGGTTTCCTCACATGCAATGAAAAAAGTAGGCAAAGTAAAATAAGTGTTTAAGGGCTTGCAAACCAAGAGTCCACCACAGCTACAAGGTCCAACGTCCAACGAAACTCCTCCAAGACAAAATAGAGAGGAGGAAGAGAGAAATGGAACAAGCTCTCAAGCTTTTCCAAGGAAGAATAAACCCTCAAGTTTTGTAGAGACTTTGCTCAAATATTCAATAAGCCTTTATGCTTCAAAACATCTCTAATTTTTAAGAGAAAAGGGGGCAGCCAAACAGCCATTCCACCTCCAACCGAATCAATCAGGTAAGGGGAAATAGAAGGCCATAAATTATTCCAGAACAGCACCTGAAAAGGCTACACATAAAACCTGGAAAAGCAGCCACGGGACAAGCAACCAAGGGAGGAACTGAAGGGGCAGCACAGGGGATCGGAACCAGCAACCAGGGGGATCGGAATAGGCCACGAGAAGGAGAACCAGGAGGTGAAAAACCGAAGAGACACGGAGAAAGGAAAAAACAAAATTCCACTCCACTTAATGAGCTAACTAGAGGAATACCTTATAAGCTAAACATCAGCTCAAATGTTTATGAGATAGAACCAAGTAACTCCCAAAGAATACAGCCCAAACCCGAGCAGCTAAGGCCCAATACGAAAAGCAACCAGCAACCCAAAGACTAAAGAACCCAAGTAGCTAACACACCCAAAGCTTGCCAAGCCAAGCTCAACCTACTCATGATCATTGGATGTTTTCCATCATAGGATAACATATAAAAAAACTATAATATTCAAATTACAATGAAAAACTAAAACAAATTGAAATATGCATGCATCAATAACCATATTGAAAGTTTTCATATTTACAACATATATATATATATTTTTTAATTTAATTAATTATGCATGAATTCTATTTATTTTTTGGTCACAAAATTATTTGATTATATAATTATTACAATATTATTATATCATTTAAATCTTATTTAAATAGTTTTAATACTTATTACATCATCCGGTTCAACCCCCGGCTTAACTTTGGTTGAACTATTGAACCTTGAAACTATTATTCTTCCAGTTTGATGTTCGGTTTGGTTTTCACAACCTTGCTTTTTGTTGGGTATGAATGTGAAAAGTTGTGGTAAATAATAAAAGCAAGAAGATAAGTAAAAAATTTTAATGTTTAGGTTCAACATTGATGTTTGATACACAATTTATTTATTTATGAATCAATTTATGTCTTCATTATTTTGCCTATAAATGCATTTTAGTTAAAGTGATGTTAGAGTATTGAATTTTTTCAAATATGATTTTAGAATTCCAACTAATTTTTTTGTAAGTTGAGACATTTGTAAGTAGACTACATATTTATGAATGGATACTTGATATTCTAGTAATAATTCAATAACTTTATTATGGTCAATAAAATCCTTTGAAGTTCTTTTCTTACTTATATACTTTTTCATCAATTGTAATAATATAAAAATCACTTTCATATGGCTTGAATGATTTTTCGAAACAGACGTAAATTTCTAAGCCCATGTACCATTAGCTATAATTTAGTTGTTTGAGTCATAAGTTTTTTTCTTGTATAACTATCACGATCTTGTACACTCCTTTGTTCTTAAATATTAGCACCAAAATGCTTATTCTCCAATCATTTGCATTCTCTTAGTCCTCAAAATTCTTTGAAAATATTTGTTAATAAAATTGCATCAACTCCTTCAATTCAAGATATATTTAATCCAGGTCCAAGCTTTATTGTTACGTATCTTCTTTAGAGCTAAATTCTACTTTTTTTGTATCAATTTATGATACACATTATTACTTTAATAATTTGTTCTTCATATTCTTCCAAAATAATTTATTTCTTCTAACTGCATTCCGCTTTACTTTTGGCCATTTTTTTAGTCTTATTGGCATTACTAAAAAAAGATGATTGATATCCCAATCTTCTTTCATTCTCGCATGAGATTTATGCAGATGAACAAACTTGTATCTGATATAATAAGCTGTCTTTACTCAATTATTTTGGGTTTGCTTAACTTTTTTGTTCTTCCAAGTATTGTATTTGAATGTTTTCGCTGATGATTACATTATAATTTTAATAATGTATTTCACATGCTTTCTTTGAATCTTGAAAGTCTTTTTTTTTCCTTCATTTTACAGTATAGAACTTTCTAATGGAATTGTAGGGTTACAACAACAACAACAGCATCAAGCCTTTATCCCACTACTTGGGGTTGGCTATATAAATCCTTATATCCTGTTAAGAGTCAAATTTTTATTTAAATCAAATAAAGAAAGGTCATTACTAATATTTTCTAACAAAGTCTTTTTAGGTCTATCACTACCTTTATTAACATAAGCTAAATCTAATACCTCTACTGTCCTAATGGGGTTATCAGAAGACCGTCATTTTATGTGACCAAACCATATAAGGCGATTCTGTCTAATCTTATCTTACACTGGAGCTACTTCAACATTTTCACGTATGTGCTCGTTTTGTATTCTATCTCTAAGAGTAAATCCACTAATCCACTTGAGCACCCTCATCTCTGCAACACTTAATTTAATATTATGCTTCTCTTTTAATGACCAACATTATGCACCATAAATCATTGCAATTCTCACCACCATCTTATAGAGTTTTTCCTTGAGTTTGAGGGGATATTTTCTATCACTCAACAAGCCCGATGCATTCCTCGACTTCAACCTTCAAACTTGAATTCTATTAAGAATATCCCTATCTATTTCACCATCACTCTGAACAATAGACCCAAGATGTCTAAAACGTGTATTCTTATTAATGACTAGATCGTCCAAAGTCACAATCTCTCCACTAGATTTATTACTACTAAAATTACACTCCATATATTCGGTTTTAGATCTACTCAAATGAAAATCTTTAGACTTTAAGGTTGACCTCCATAATTCAAGTTTACCTTCAACTCCCTCTCTAGTCTCATCAATAAGAAGAATATCACTAGGAAAAAGCATACGCCAGGGTACAACCTCTTGCAAATGTCTAGTGAGAACATCCATAACTGATGCGGTCAAAAAATACAGGGGACCCTATATCTCTTGATCGCAAAAAGAAAAACAGACGACACAACAAAGACTTTAAACGAAATTACTAAAGACGAGAAAAGGAAGAACAAACTCTTACATTTCAATTTAAACTAAACAAAAGAAAACTTACAACAATACAAACGACTCTTGCAAACAAAATGACGACACCCTAAAGTTGCTGCACTTGGAAGAAAGATACAGGTGGAGTGGCACTTGTAGAGAGACGAAAGATGTTAGAAGCCCGAGAAGAAAGGTTGGAAAGAGCCCACAGGATTTCCGGAGGGGATGAGAAAGAAGGTTGGAAAGAGCTCGCAGGATTTTCAAAGCAAACCCGCAGGTTATAACTTCCAAAAATAACTTATCATTCACTCTTTTAAAACATTACAAACCATCTCATATATATAGGTATGAGAAGAGAATATGAAAAGACACAAACATTAATTCTAACACAAGAACCTAAACATCACACATTAAAACACCTAAAAATAAATCCCAAGCCAAGAAACCGAAGAGGTAGCCGCGGGAGCCAAGGAGGCCGAGCGGAAACCAAGAGGGCACGGTCACGGGAAACCAGCAGCCGGCCGGAATCCAAGGGGGCAAATGCAATGAAACCATGGAGGAAACCAAGGAGTCATGCATGGGAATACTAAACACCTTTCTTGGGATTCCAAAAGCCCTTTTTGGAACCCCAAGAGACATCATAAAAGAAGACTTTAAAACTATAAATAACATTTAATAAAAAGTAAGATAATAAATGAACTAAAATGTTAGCTAATAATGAGCTAACCCTTAGTTCAATAAATGAACTAAAGTCCAGCTCATAAATGTGCTAAAATTTCAGCTCAAATAGTAGACTCAAGAGAAGCCAAAATTCATTTTATTTTGGACCTGAGTTGACCCCCCCTTTATTTACATCAATAACTAAAGCAAAAAGATATGGGCTTAAGGCCGATCTTGATGTAATCCAATTGAAATAGAAAAATATTTGGCCAAACCACCTTGTGTTTGAACACAAGTAACAACACTTGCATGCGTTTCCTTAATGAATTGAATATAAACATTATTAGCCCCTTTCTTTTCTAGAACTCTCCATAGCACTTCTCTTGAAACTTTATCATATGCTTTCTTTAAATTAATAAATATCATATTTATATCCTCCTCATTTTCTTTATACTTCTCCATTAAACCTCTCAATAAATGTATAGCTTCCATAGTAGACCCGCATGAATCCAAATTGATTTTGTGAAATATTAGCATCATGCTGTAACCTATGCTCTATAACTCTCACATAGTTTTAAAGTTTGACACATTAACTTAATTCATCTATAATTCACACAATCTTATGCATCACCTTTATTCTTAAAAATAGGAATCAACCTACTCATTGTCTACTAATTCAGCATCGTTTTAGTCTTCAAAATAATATTTAAAAGTTTAGTTAGCCAATAAATTCCTTCATCTCCTAAGCATTTCCACATCTCTATTGGAATATCATCAGGTCCAACAACTTTTCCATACTTCATTTTCTTTAAAGACTCTCTAACTTCAGTTTTACTAATATGTCAATAAAAATAAAAATCTTTATTTTCATTTAGAGTGCTAGACTGCTAGGTCTCTATAGTTAATCGTATTCTCACAATCTTTGTTGAAAAGTTTAGCAAAATATCTCATAAACCTTTATTGAATACCCCTTCTAATAAAAGCACTTTTTAATCTTCATCCTTAATGCACTTCACTTGAACTAAGTTCTTACTACTCTTATCTCTTTGTTTGGCTAACTTTTATATATATATATATATTTACTTATATATATATATATATATATCGCCCTCTTTAATATCTAATTTATTATAGAAAATATAAAAAGTTAAAATATTTGAATTGCATGTTGCTTTCTTAGACTCCTTATGGGTCTCTTTATAACTTTTCCAATTATTTGAGTTTTTACATCTAAATCAGTTTTTATAACAAAGCTTCTTATTTTTCATCTTTACTTGCACATTTTGATTCCACCACAAATTATATTTACTATTATGAGCTTTTTCTTTTGATACTCCAAGCACATTCTTTGTAACTTTTTTAATATCACTAGTTATTTTTTTCACATAACATGAGATTTCTCATGCATAGACAAAATCTTAAGATTTAGAATCTTACTATCAAAAATATTTTTGTAAACATTCTTTAAATCCCCCCATATAATTCTGAAACAATGTTTTACTTTATTTTTTATATTTGTCTCTTCATCATAAAATTCAAAATTAATAAGCAATGTTGGGTATATAAACTTTCAGTCGAAATAACTTTACAATCTTCATAATCTAAACAATTTATTTTTCTTATAAGAAAACAATTAATCTGAGTTTTACTATATCCATTTTTATAAGTAATGAGATGTTCATCTTTTTACTTAAATTAGATATTAGTAATTACGAAATTATAAGCTGTAGCAAAATCTTATATGGTCTTGTCACCTTCATTAGTCGTTCCAAACTCCTAGTTACCCTGAATGCTTATAAAAACATCTATCACTTTGCCAACATATCTATTTAAATCTCCTCTAATAAAAATTCTTTCTTCAAGAGATATTTTTTATATTAATTATTCTAAGTTTAAAATTTTGAACACATATTCAAACCTACTTGATAACCATAAATACTTATAATATTAATAATCTTAGTATCAACAACAATCTTTTAAGATATAAATCTATCTCCAATCCTATTAATTTTTACAACATTATCCTTCTGACTCTTATCTATAATCACACATACACCATTTCTAGTACGACTTCAACTAGAATACAATAGTTTAAATCCTAAACTATGGATTAAAACTTTGATAGTCTTGCTTAATGAAAGGGCGAACCTTAACTTCGTGTGGTTTACATTATTGATTAATAGAGATAAATCTTTGTCAAATTTTACAGGACCTTTCTCTTTTGCCCAATGTAACATTTTGAAGGCTATTTTTTCTCTTTCTTCATAAGCTTCCCCAATTAAATGAAATTTTTTCTGCTTGATTTTTTTGTTCACATGGAGATCCAAATTTTTTTTTTGATTTCCTTTTTGATGGAATACAACTGGCATTGAATATTCTCCATTTTCGCTTATTGTCCCCTTCTATGAGATTTATATGGTACACAGTTTTCAGTTTTCTAATGTTTGATATCTTGCCACTGAACTCCATTTCTGTTGAAGTGTTGACGGACAGGTTGTTCAACCTTTTTTTTTTCATGACTTAAGAGTCCTTTCTTTTCTTCATTAAATTCTGAAGATTCATATAATAATTATTGATGAACATTGATTTATTAGTTATATTTCATGGTGTTTCATTTTTCATTTGTTTGCGCAGCATAAGAAGGCGATCACTTGATTTACTATATGGCATGTGTGATATCACTAATGCAAAGGATATTGTCGAGGAGTTATTGCAGGTACACTTTACCAGCCAAGCATGTCAGGCAGTCAAAATTTTACTTTTAAGATGTTTTAAAAAGGATCGGATGTAAGTCATGTAACATTAAATCCTCAATGATTCCTTTTTCAGTATCTCAGCACTGCGGAATTTGCTATGCGTGAAGAGCTGGCGCTGAAGGCAGCTATTCTGGCTGAAAAATTTGCTCCAAATCTATCTTGGTTGGGTACTTCGCCCTATTGGGTCTCAAATAGCTTTTAGGGATTATGATAGTTCACTTGCAGTTTTTGATTTTTTTTTTAAGCCTCGGGTTTTTTTACTAATGTTTTAATGCAGTTTTCTATTTATTTGTCTTATTTACATCATCTAGTTTTTTTGTACAACTATAAAACCATCCAAAGAGAATCCAACTTAGAAATTTGTAGGTTTAGACGCTAGTTCTTAAGGATTTTGTTGCACTCATGCCAAAAGTGCAAGTTGATTTGCGTGTGCTGGAACTTTGCCTAAGTTGATTGAGCCAACCCAATTGAAATTGGTCGGTGTGTTAGCGTATCATGTTATGATATGAAGTTGATTTTTTTTTCCTTATTTTTTAGGTGAAAGGTGGGCTTAGACCCTTCTCGTTAATAAAGAATAAAAGAAAAACTTTCCGAGGAGATACAATTTGTGAAAAGCATACGAATAATTAGAGGAAAAAATCGAGCGAAAGTTTCTAAGCAAATTTGTTAATACAATCCTAGTCACCACTTTTTTTCTTACAATTATATATCTAGAAGTCAACAAGAGAGGTGATATTATACCAAATCACCTCATTTTTTCCTATATCTTGAAAAACTCTTGACACATCACAAAATTGCCTTAATTCAATACGAATCTTGATGCATATTTGAATTGGAAACTTCCAAAATTATATTTGGGACCATCCAAACTCAGATTTCAACAAACTTACTGTCAAATTGAACGGTTCAATGAGATGAACCCAATGAACCAAAATCGGTCCAATTCGAGCCCAAATGGGCCAAATCAAAGGACCAAAGCTTCAAAGCAGTAATTGGATAGCCAAATGATTTCCAAATTTGGAATGTTTATAGTCGAATTGAGGCGAATCCAACAAGTCCAATAGCACTCAATTTCAACATCATTACGGCACTTAAATACAAAAATACAAAATAAACGATTTATGATTAGAGGAATTAACATGAGCCGTTCGATGGAGCACTCCAAATTTGTTTTGGATCTTCTATATATTTATGAAGTATGTTACTCTCAAAATATATAAATAGACCTCCACTATCTACTTGAGGGGGACCATGGAAGGAGATGGCTAGGACTTTTGGAGGCTTAGACTCTGGGCTAGAAACTCAAGAGAGCTCTAAGGCTTAAAGCATATTGGAGCTCCACCCCGACACCACCACCGACGAACCCTCACCACCAGGCTGCCGCTGCTGGACCTTTTCCTGACCATTGTCGTCAAACCTTTATTTGGGGGGCTTCGTCCAACCACTGTCGCCCGCCGACTACAGTCTCTCCAACCATTGTCACTTGTCGATTATGATCCCTCGGACCATCGGTGCCCTCCAAGTTAGATCCCTCTGACTACGGTCCCTACGACCTCCTTCGGCAGCTAACAATCATCCCTCTAATCTCCATCGTCTGTCAACTACCGTTCTTCTGACCACCGTTGCCCACCGACTATCGTCCCTCCGACAATCGTCGCCTAATAACCACGGTCCCTCTAACCTCCGTCACTTGCTAACTACGGTCCCTCCAATCTCGGTCGCTCGCCGATTACTATCCCTTCAACCTCCGTCGTCCACCAACTTTGGCCACTCTGATCTCTGCCGCCCGTCAATTATGGTCCCTCCGACCATCGTCCCCTGCTGACTACGGTCCCTCCGAATACCATCGCCCGCCTACTACAATCCCTATGACTTTAGTCTCCCATCGACTACGATCCCTGCGACCTCCATTTCCCTCCAACGGAGGTCAATCTGACCACTATCACCCGCCGACTAAGGTCCCTCCGACCTTTATCACCAGACAATGGTCCCCTCTATCTCAGTTGCCCGACTACGGTCCTATCGTCCAAACGAACAATCCAACATTCTTTTTGAAAATAACGCTCATATCACTGGATTCTTTTAACTCTCACCATGTAATGCACTCTATATGATGTATATTTGTTACATTGAGCCAAGTCTTCCCTGGAGGAAGGGTATCATTTGTAATCGGCTACAAACACTTGTAGAATCATTTTAACTGGGCCAAGCCTTATGGGTTTTTCTCTTTTTAGGGTTTTTCACGTAAAATTTTTGGTGTCTCTCATTACTCTTGCACCCCTCTTTTATATATATATATATATATATATGCTGGATCTTCGTATAAAGCTAGGACGCTAAACCCTATATCTCTCTATTGCCACGAATGTTTCGGTACTCAACAACTCTCATGTTTCATTCATTCCATATATTCCATAAAGTAGATAGAGAGAAGGCTTTCCAAGTATGTCTTGTTTCTAGTTAGAACATGATTGGTTCTCCTAGAGGTGAAGGAGGTGATGCATTTTGGTTCAGAATATATTTTGAAGATTTGTAAGATTCTTGTCCAAATAAAATTAATAAAATTGCATTTGAGGAATATTGAAGATAACAGATGCAACATGCAGTATAACATGCTCCAAATTCAACTTAAATAAGAAAGATTTGCTTGAAATTTTGTTGTGAAAAGCCACCGAGGTTAAAGTAGAGAGCTTAAGTGGAATGATGGATTTCTAAGTCCACTTACGATTGATACAAGAAATTCCAACATTAATGAGAAAACAATAGAAGGATTTCACACTGAAAATTTCTTTGTTACCCAATACAGTGAATCATGAAAATGTTAAGAGAAATTGGATATAGTCATGAATATATATGACTGATTTTTTCTTTCAACCAAGATGGAATGATCTCGTGCCAATGAATCCTCCAACCTTAGGTAAGTGAGAACTTTGCAATTAGGAATCTAAGCTAACCATGAGAGTTCACTGAAAAATAATTAATGAAGAAACATTTAAATTTTATTTATCTTTCCAAATCTAATGGAGTTTTGATTCCTGACTTTACAAAATGTGTAGAATGGTCGAATTGTTTTGCTAATCCATTAATGAAGCTAGAGCAATTCAAAGAGCACTTTTATCCAGAAGTCCATTGGATTTTTAGGCTTAAAATACTTTTTGTTAATAAATAATAATGTTGCAAGAAAAAAAAAAGAATCATCATTGTTGATAGTTTTTTAAATCCTTAGGGCAAGAAGAGAAATGTTAAAAGATGTTAGGTTAATCACGCCAAGTCCTCGATTTTTTTTAGGTCTTTTTTTTTTCTAATGAATGGATGGATACCACTATAATTTACAATATTCTTTCAAAAGAATTATTTTAGTGTTGTCAATTTTTTCAATTATCTAGGAAGGTATCCAAAAATAACAAAAATAGTATAGAGAAAATATAGTGATAACATAGTTAATAAGAGTCAACATTTCCCTTCCAGAAAGAAATTACCATTTCAACTAAAAAGTTTTTTCTAATTATTTTTTATAATTGGATTTTAAAAGATTTATGAATGGTGTTGGGACCAATAGCGATACCATACTATTTACAAGCAAGAGTTTCCACAGCACTCCCAAGGCCTTCAGTTTCTGCATCACATCCCAAGATCTTTGCTAGGTTATTATCATGACCAAGAATTTTTATTGCGTCCGGTAAAAATACCGATCATTCCGAGTGTACCGAGCACAATACCGACACTTTAGTGACGTGGCGTTTTGTTATTGGTTTCCGAATGCATTCGGTAACCTGACGGAATCATCACTCCATGACCAAATATATCTTGAAGATAGATTAGAGAAGATCTATTAAAGTTGATATTAAAACTAGAATATTTGCTAAATAGGTCAAGAATGTATTGAAAATAGTCTACTTGCAATGTTGTTGCACCACATAAGAGAGGAGTGTCTCAACAAACTAAATATTATTAATTGCCAAAGTTTCTTTATTAATATGATATCGATCATTTAAATTATTAATAGTTGTAGCCCTTAGCGTTTTGTGTAAGACATTCACCATAATGTTAAAAAGAAATGATGAAATAGGATCATCTTGATGAAACCCTCTATGGCATTTGAATTGAGGGCCTAGAATACCATTGACAGAAAGAAAGGAGTTGGCATGCAGAATAGCTTCCTTAATTCAGCCAATGAAGTTAGGGGATGGAATTTGTTTCGCAGAATGGATATCATGAATGCCAATCACGAAAGTTAATTTTTTTTTTAAATGAGCTTCAATAGAAAGAATTCTTACTTACTTTTGATTGGAGAGTGAATAAGTTTGTGAGCCACCAAAATTCAATCAATTGTGATTTTATTGAACATACAAGCACCTTGGTAGGCATCAACAAAGTTAGATATAGTGTTCTCGAGTCTATTGGTGATAGTTTTGACAAAGATTTTGCTAGCACCTTTGAACAGATTGATAGGCCTAAAATTTATAAAAGTTCATAATGCTCTTTCTTGGAGATAATACAGATAAATTATTTGTAATTATAAATATTGACATACTTTTCATTGCTTATAAACTTCCCCTAGCTCTATTTGCATACTTGAAAACCATGTTCAATATGGTTTATGAAGCCTGAAGCAAAGCACTTTGCAAGGCATACGCATGTATATTACTCTTCTTAAGACATTATTTTTCTTCTCTTGTGTTCTCTTGATGCATCTCTTGCGTCATGACCTGACCGAAGAGCTTGGAGTGTTTAGGTAGAACAAAGAATTGGATGAAAGAGTGAAGTTTTCTACATACCTTGAAAAACTTTCATAATAGTTTATAACAAAATTTTGAAACATAAATATTAAAATGCACAAAAGGGCCACTAAATCAAAAAATTTAATTAGCATATTAAAATAGTACATTTGGCATATAATATACATCTTAAGGAAAAGGATGCAAACTATGTTTTACTATACATTTATTATATTTTACATTATAATGCTTATTATAGACCTAACAATAGATTCTTCTCACACGTTGTAATGAAAAGATTCTCTATGATCCAATTACTCAAAAATATTTATCAACTAATGGGTTAAGTTATATAGAAATATATAATTTAGTGGGTAAATAGCTTATAAAGTACGGTAACTCAAAGGAAAGAAGAAATAATAGAGGCAGTCATCAAATTAAAGATGTAAAGAAATTCACTAATAGAAATGATCATAATCATTAAATTATAGTCAAATTTATGAACAATGACTTCATCATAGCATTTAACTTAACTAGCTTATCATGTCGTAGCTTATCTAGAGCGTATATGCTTGATACCATCATCTAAGGAGCTCCATCGAAACACAAACCTAATTTATGCTTCTCGGTTAGCAAAACAAGATAGGGGTTATATGCCTACTATTGTATGCGGCAGAAAGATTAAAGTCATCAGTGTGCAGTACAGTAACATCTTCAACTAACAACATCTATTATAAGGAATATTGCATAGTATAGTATATGCTTTACTTGAACAATTGAAACATAACTTGAAGGCATACACATCATTCATGGTAATATAAATGATCATTTGAGAAAGATAAATCTGTAAAATTTTGCTATATAGTCTTGTAACAATTTACAATTTTGTCTTATAGCAATAATACTTATTCAAAAGATCATGAAACATAAACATTTCAATTAAATGTATTGGTTTAGGTTAAAGGAAGTATTACTCCAGTCTAAAAAAGATACTGCCCACTTCAAATTTAGGAGATCCAACTCTTCAACTTCAATGTCGAAGTATCGACACATTCTTAACAAAAAAAATATCTTTTATTATATATATATATGTATATAGCACCAAATCATTTAGTTTAGACTGATATCAAAACACAACCTAATTATACCTTAAGGGTAAAGTTACATAACACAATTTGTTTCTCAATTATAATCTTGCTAGCATTTAGGGAACTTGTCTTAAAATATCTTGGAGTGCATTATATATTTATACACTCATAACAAAAACAGCATAACTTTGGATTGTTCCTGTAAACTATCACCGAATCACGTGTACCCATGAAATTATAAAAGATAATGCTTACTCTTTGCCTGTTAATGTCATACATCATTAATCATGGATTTATAGTGTAAAATATCACTAATCATTATCATATGTCAAAGAATTTTTTATTAGTTATAAATCTGCATAATTCTTAAAATCTCCAATTCATCTAATAATGATTTATCTTGACAAAATTCTCTCTTGGTCTTTACATGACATTTTATTTAAAAAAGGAAAAAAAAAACTTAAGTTAGATAAGGATTCAACAAATCTAAAATTAAACCACAACTATTATTAATTACACAAGCTTGATAAAAGTTGAATTTCAACTATAAAATGTAAGCCTGCTTATACACAAACTGTCTTTCTCTGTCTCCAATAAAGTGGATGAGTTGTGTGTCTAACATTATCTTGCAAATGTCTGAACTTGTTTTATCAAATACTTCTATTTTAATGCTTCAGCTTATATTGGTCATTACTTCTACTTATTTATTACTTATAGGTATGTCGATGTTATACTTCAGCTTATTGACAAAGCAGGAGACTTTGTTAGTGATGACATATGGTATCGGGTGGTACAATTTGTCACAAATAATGAAGATTTACAGGTATAAATTATTTCTCCTTGAATGCTCCTGGTAAATGTATTGCATTGATTCTTTTATCAAGTTGTCATTTTTTTTTTCCATGTTTTTCAGCCATATGCAGCAGCTAAGGCTAGAGTTTATCTTGACAAACCCGCATTGCATGAGACAATGGTCAAGGTGATCATCTTTTCCTATTTTTCCATTTATGTTCTTCTTCTTATATTCGATGTCTGTAACTGATTGGACTTAAATATTAGTAGCGGTCATAGATTCTTGCACAATTTAACTAATGCTTAAAATTATGGACGTAAATGAAGGGATTATGCTATCCCTGCTAAGTAGTTGAGATGAAGCAAATCTCGATAGTCATGATAAGCTTCTAGCATATATGAAACTAATTCTATATGATTCTCTTGCTATTTATCTCTTTTAGACCATGCATCTGTGACTCATGTCTCTCTTAGCATTGAATGAAATTGATCATTTTTTATGAAAAGCTTCACCATATCAATAACTATAAAGCCTTTTCCACAAGAACTATTACAAATAAATTGTGGTATTTTGTCAAGGGACTCTTTTTTACGTGCTTGGGGTATATATATTTGTTTTTCAAATTTGTTTTTAATATAGGGATCATTGATCAATATTTTGCTATATATATATATATATATAATTCAAACAACTTTCACAAAGCAACACACCTGCCTCGGCTCTCTACCTCATGCGGTTCATTCCCAAATGAAGCAATGGTTCATTCTTGTAACTTACCTCGATGCACAAAACACCCCAACCCGCTCCTTTATTATCATTCAAACTCACAAAACTGCTTGCTCCTTTCTTCTCGTCTCTTTGTGCCGCTCACTGGGACAGAAGCCCGATCGCTCCTCATCTTCCTCAGCCACACGCAAGATCGCTTACGACCTTTGATCCCAAGCCCAAACAATCGCCCACCTCCGTATATATCCCCGACCGAACACCATACGACATGCACAACCGTGCGTGACAGCCCTATTCGACCAGCCTCTTCGCTCCAACTCGCACATAGACCTTGGCCTCCGACCCGATGACCTGCTTCTGCCTGTCCGGTCACACCAACATGTGCGAATAATTGTGTTACCACCTGACCTGTTGTACGCACACGACCACCCTCACCCGATCCTGCCTCCACCAGTCAATCCAGACCCAGGTCAAAACCACACAACCTTGTTGACTACAAAAAAAGATAGAATAGAAAATTTTCAAAACAAACGGCATATCGGCCACACACCGAGCAGTTAGCGTCGAAATGAAGCAGGAACTTCCATCGGACAATCCAAAGTGATAAAAAGGAAGAAATCTAGAGAAAATGAGACTTACACTTTCGCTCTCGCTCATTCGACTCCGTCGTTCCTGTTCGATTTTCTTGCTTCGCAGGAGGTGTCTAGGGTTCGCCATTCATCTTCTCTTTTCGTCGTTGTTGTTCGGCTTTGTTTATTCGTAGTAGGCGAAGAGATTGCACGCGCCGCTCCTTCTGCTCCATCGTCATTGTTTGGCTTCGGTTCGTAGAGGCCGCACGCACCGACTCCCCTTGGCTGTCTGACTTCGTTCTTCGCAGGAGGTGCAGAGATTGCGTGAGTTACTTCCTCGGCTCCTTTGTCCCTGCCCGACTTCGTTGCTTCGTAGATGGTAGGGATTGCGCGAGTCGCTTCCTCTGCTCCTTTGTTGCTTTCTGACTTCTTGTGTCGCAGGAGGTGTTGAAGTCGCATGAATCGCGACTTTGACTTCCTAGTTGCTGCTCGAAGTCGGCTCCCTCGTTTTTCGATTTTGTTGCTTTGTAGGAGGTATAGAGATTACATAGAGTTATTTATTCGGCTTTCTTTGTTATTGTTCGACTATGATCCTTCAACAAGCCGAATTAAATCATGCCCAACCGACGCTGCTACATTTTTTTTCTTTTATATGTAAATTATAATATATAATATTATATATAAATAATTTATAGTATGATATATTGATATCATAAATATATTATTTTATTAATATAATATTATAAATATCTAAATAAAAGAGAGAAGAAGAAATTAAAAAAAAAAAAAAGAGACTTGCAAGCAAGTATCGAAGACCCGCGCCGTGATCTTAGATCCGGGCGGATGGTTTTAAATTTGAAGCCCCCGCACCATTGATCTTAGATCTGGGCGGGATGAAACAAAATTTGAAGACCCCACGCAGTCGATCTTAGATCCTGGTGGGATGGTTTAAAATCGAAGACCCTACGCCATCGACCTTAGGTCCGGGTAGGAAGAAATTACGGCAGTGCCATCCCGATTTCTCCCTCGGTGAGAGTAGACGCCGGGAGGCTGTCGAAATTTCTTGGAAAATTATAGAACTTTTTTTTTTAAACAATTAGAGAGCAATGCAATTTGGATTTTAATTAATCAATTATATAATGTATTGAAATTCATTAATTAAATAAATTGAATTTAAAATTTATTGATTGATTAATTTAAAAAAAAAATTAAGAATAAGTTTAAAATTCGATAGCATTTCAAATCCGAGGGCTTTTTAGAAAAAAAATTGAGAGTTTTAAAATTAGAGAGCTTTGAAATTTAAATTTGATTAGTTTGTTAATTAATTTATCAATTAATTGAACAATTATAAAATAAAAATGCATTAAAAAAAAGAGGAAGGGGGAAGTTCCACTAATTAGCACATACAATATTATTTTTAAACTCTCCAAAACTCTCAAGCTCTCCAAATCTGAACAAACCCTCATAAACTGTACAACCTCTTCAAAACAAAAACTCTCAAACTCTCCAATAACAATACTAACAACTCAACACACTCAAATTGAACTCCTTTGCATGCTCTCCAAAGCTCCCCTATACGAGCTCTTACAGCTACTAGTGGGATATATCCTCTGTAATTGCAAGCCTCGGCTATTGCAACTACTGACTACGAACACCTACAAATAAACAAATGAAGAGTTAGTATATCATAAATAAATTAAATGAATGTTGATAAATTTAAGCTATTGCAGGTAGAACAAAGTACTGGAAAGTAAAGAAAGTTAAGTACTTAAAAAACCAATAAAGTTACAGTGTCAGAAAATGAGTAGAGTAGTGGACTGCTATAGCAGGAAAAAGAGTACGACTCTACGAGCACAGAACAACTAAACACTGACACTAGTGTCAAAACCCCGAAGTGTGAAAATCACAAACTCAAACCAACTTAAATAAGTACGGAATAAATTTTTAAATATTGTACAAACAACTACTGTCTATACAAACACATGATCAAATTTAAATTACTAGGCAACCTTGTTTATTAGTACTTGATTGTAAAACCCGACAACTTTCAAAGGAAAACAGTAAGTTCGACCTTACGGGAAAGTTTTAGGTAAAAAATTGACTTAACCCTTAATCCTCAATTAAAACACCGGCCACTTCTAATAAAAGTCGTAAATCTGACCTTTGAGGGAAATATTTAGGTGATAATACAACCCTAGACCCCTCACTCAGGTATCATAGTCTATATAGGGCTAGGTTGTAAGACCCATCACTCGGGCCACTTAGCTTACAGGGCTAGGTCGTAAGACCCATCATTAAGCTACTTCTAAGGGAGCACTAAGACCTATCCAACTGAAATATTTGGGCTACCCTTAATAGAGGTTGTAAGTCCCACTAATTGGGCCACTTTCTAATGAAATCCATAAGTCCCTACCCAAATCTAGTCACATGGACAACTCTTGTTGAAAAATTAAGGCAAAAGCCTCAAGAAAGAGTTGCATCTTTAAATAATGTTTTGAGATATAATAATTATGATTCCTATGTTGAAAGCATGTGGAATTTTTATCGTAGGATTTCCCACCCAAGTAATTAAAGCCTTCGAGCATCCTAACCTATAGGGTTAGGTTGTAAGTCCAACTAGCGGGTAACTTCTAAGTGAAATCATAAGACCCACGTTTTAGGAAAATTGTTAAATAAATTGCAATGACCCTAAAACCCAAATAATCAAATTTAAACCTATAGGCATCATATTTTATAGGATTAAGTTGTAAGACCCGCTATCGGGCTACTTCTAAGTGAAGTCGTAAGTCTCACGTTTTAGGATAATTACTAAATAAATAACAATGATCCTAAATCCCAAATAATCAAATTTAAACCTTCAGACATCTTAGTCTAAAGGATTAAGTTGTAAGACCATTTTTTTCTGGCTACTTCCTAAGTATTCAAATAATTAAAACCTCTGGTCAGCCTCGTTGTAGAGTTAGGTTGTAAGACCTATCCTTGGGCAACTCGTAAATAGAGTAATAAGTCTCATTCTAAAACAAATTCCCGAGCTACTTTCTACAAAAGTAGTAAGTCCCAACCTAAATCCAAAAACCTGAGCTACTTTCTAAAGAAGTCATAAGTCCCGCTCCAATCCAAACTCCTAGGTTACTTCTAAACGAAGTCATAAATCCCAAACTAAATCAATTTTTGGATATTCTAATAGATGTAAACCCCAAAACACCTAATCAAATTAAAACTCAAATCTCACCACTTCAGTCTGCTCGGGATCCCTTAGAGGAGACAACTCATAGCTGCTAATCATATTCCTTGGACACTACGGTCAATGATTATTAATGTTGGTAGATTGAAATCTACTGTATACTCGGGATGATGGAACTATGGAATCTTGATATGGTTTATCTCCATTTTCCCCACTATTGAGACTAAAAAATTACCTAAAATTATTTCATTCTTAATCGAGAGTTCTCTCTTACGTGTTAAGAGGGGTAATTAACTATGAGTGCTTGTGCTCATAGGAAGTAAAGATCCTAGATCTATAAACCTTGACACTACCCTCAGGGAAAATCTGGTTAACTACAATCTGACTTAAGGCAAATGATATCCTATAGCTGCAAAGTAGGATTCATACATTCGTGCCATTTTTCTTGAGCCATCAAACCTGATCATCTGTTATGTTTGTTCCTGTAGGTTTGAACACACCCCTTGCATGTTCGATTCTCGTCTTCTTAAAATCAAGACAACAACCTGTCTTTTCTTTTATGTGCTACTAACTCCGACATACTATCATATACTATCTTTAATTAAATAATTAAATATATTTTCTATTATTAAATAATTTTATGATAAGTAGATGGCACATTAGATAATTTCAAGACCCCGCGCCGTTGATCTTTGATCTGGGCAGGATGGATTTTAAATTTGAAAACCCACACTATCAATCTTTGATCCAGGTGGTGAAATTTTCAATTCGAATGCCCTACTCCGTTGATCCAGGTGGAAGGATTTCTATTTCGAAGATTCTGCGCCGTCGTATGTTTGATACGGGCGGGTAGAAACCATGGCAAATGCCATCTTTACCGGGAGGTTGCCGAAATTGTTTCGAGAGGCTGCCAAATTCCGCTTTGGAGCCATTGGAGAGTAATTTTGAGATGTTTAAATTTATTTTTAATAATTAATACAATTAATTTATTTAAAATTAATTAATTCATTTAAAATAATTAATTTAATTATTAAAGTATAATTCAATTAATTCATCAAATAATGAATTAATTAAATTTAAAATAAAATTAAAATTAATTCATTTAAGATACTCATTTAATTAATTTGATTAAATCCAAATCAAAATTACATAATTTAAATTAACTAAAAATAAGATTAAAATTCATTTTATGAATTAATCCATAAATAACATTAAAATGTAATTAAATGACTAAGCCATTTAAAAACAATTAATTTATTTTAATTAATTAAAATCTTAATTTCAATTAAACTCATTAATTAATTTTTAAATAACTTTGAAATTTTATTAATTGAGCAATTTAATTACACAATTAGTTAATTCAAAATAAATTTAAAAGCTAATTATTTAATTTATAATTTCATTCAATTATTTAATTCATTAATTGACCAATTTAAAATTCATTTTATTGATTGAATTAATAATATAAATCAAATAAAATACCATAAAAGAAAATAATATTCATACTAATCATCCTAATGCAACTCAAACCGACTAAAACACTCAAACTCCTAAACTTAAACACCAAACAAAACAACACAAAACTAGAGTCTCCAAAAAAAAAAAAGCTCTTCAAGCTCCAAAATCTCCTCTTATGCAAGCTCCAATCCTCTCAAAAATTCCAAAAGCTCCTCATGTGCAAGCTCCAAAGCAGTACGAACTACGAACTCCTGCAAACAATCGAACAAAAAACCAGTACTGTCAACAAAACTGCAGTGCAACAACAACAACAACATCAAGCCTTTATCCCACTACGTGAGGTTGGCTACATGAATCCTTTTTCTCCATTGTGTCCTATTAAAAGTCAAATTCACGTTTAAGTCTAATAAAGAAAGATCATTTCTAATATTTTCTAACCAATTCTTTTTAGGTATGCCTCTACCTTTCTTAACATAAGTCAAATCTAATACCTCTACTTTCTTAACCGAGTCATCGGAAGTCCATCGTTTTTTGTGACCAACCTATCTAGGCGACTCTCTCTAATCTTATCTTCTATTGGAGCTACTCCAACCTTTTCACGTATATGCTCATTTCGTATCTTATCTCTAACGGTAAAGCCACTCATCCACCTGAGCATCCTCATCTCTGCAACACTTAACTTAGTATTATGCTTCTCTTTTAATGGCCAACATTCGGCACCATAAAGCATTACAGGCCTCACCACCATCTTATAAAATTTCCCTTAAGTTTGAGGGGTACTTTTTTATCACACAACAAAACTGCAGTGCAAGAAAAGAAAATCAGAGTGCCGCAATCAAAACTACAGTGCGAAACTGAAACTAAAGAACACTACTAAAACAAGAAAATAAGTAAAGTACTGTAACAGAAACACAAGTGTTGGACTAGTAAATAATTGAAAATCAAAGCCTAGTGTCAAACTTGTAAACAACTGCAAACCAATGGACCTATTGTACAATCTACAAAAACCATCAGGCTACTTTCAATAGAAGCCATAAGCCTCGATCAATTCAATTAACCGGATAATTTCTAAATGAAGTCATAAATCCATACTAAATCAACTATTAGGTATTCTAATAGATGTAAATCCCAAACTTTCACAAAATTATAAACCACTCATAATAACTTCAGTTTACTCGGGATTCTTGAGAGGAGGCAACTCATGACTACTATTCAGATTCTTTGGACACTGCAATCAACAATTGCTAGTCTTGATAGACTGAAACCTATGGTATACTCGGGAAGACGAAACCATGGGATTTTGATTAGGTTTATCTCCATTTCCTTCAAACTGAGACTAAAACACCTAAAATTTTTCATCTTCAATCGAGAGTTCTCTCTTACGCAATAAGAGGGGTAATTAACTATGAGGGCTTGTGCTCAAAGGAAGTAATGACACATATCTAACTAAACTTTGATACTACCCTCAGGAAAAATTTGGTTATCTACAATCTGACTTGAGAAAATGGAATCCTATGTTTGTATAGCGGAATTCATGCCAACGTGCCATTTTTCTTAAGTCAGCAAGGAGATTGGAAATATGTGATGACCCTTGCAAGACTCGTCTGATTGGTTCTCAAACCTAGCTAAGTTAATTATGCAGGCAAGATGGAATGATAATCGGAAAACAAGCAAATTTTTCATTTCATCAATACCTATGGTACAATTGCATATTCAAATTTGAAATTGAAAAGCTAAAAAACTGAAATTACAGTAATTGTCTGTTAGACCAGTCCATTGGATCAGTCTAGCCAGTCCACACAGGACCGGCTCCTGTGGAACAAAGGCAAAAGTTCCGCCTCCTATACGAGCCACACAAGCCGCCCTTTCCAAACGAGCAGATTAGGAAGGTTTTAGGAGATGTTTAGGAGGAAAATTTGAATGTATGGACTGTTTAGAGATTTTCTTTTGGATTGTATGCATTAAATAATTTGTTTTCCTAGGGTTATGGCATCTTGAATTTGGCGGAAATTTGAGATCCCTTAGGTTTTTGGGCTCTAGCGGCGTGTAAAGATTTGGGAGAGATAGATCCTCCTCTCGAATAGTGGATCAATTGTAACTTGTTATTTTCTTTCCGTTAGTTTGATTATTCCAATAAAAACCACTGTTTTTTCTGGTTTTTCCTTTGTTAAGATCATTAGGTTTCACTTGAGATCTTCAGGTGTTTCCTAACACCATCCATTCATGAATGAAACTTGTATGCCTCCCAAACTTGAATTTGAAATCTTCCTCAAGATATAATAGTCTTTCCTTTATTCAGACTTCTTTGAAACTATCTTTGTTTGCATTGTGCCTAGCCGGTCAAGCGAATTGATTTGTAACCTCTCAAATTTAATTGGAAAATCTTTCTTGAATGCTTATGAAATTGTCACTTATATGATACCTGTAATGATCTTGCAATTCTCCGATTTGAATTTAATTTCTTATAATAACCAGCCACATAACTGAAACTTTGATTGATTTTGTAGCCTTTGCATTTGGATTTGAAATAAATGCATAAAACCGATCTCTTGAATGCAAAACTTAACCGGACACCAATAAGGGAATCGAAACTAAACAGAAATAAATAAATTGCCTTCATAATTTGATGGTTGCAAGATGCTTGATTAATTGTTTTTGTCCCTTTTTTTCATCCTGTAACCTTTCTCCTTTGAATCACATGTGATTGTTTTCCATCAATAATCTTTTCAAAGATGTCTAGTAGAATGACATAAGGTGATGATAGGATCATGACTTCATAGTATGTTTTGCAATCTTTTTTCAAAGTTGCTATAGTTATAGTTGTGATAATTTACGGAAACCTGACTTCTATGACAATTCTTATGGCAGGTTGGTTCCTACCTTCTGGGGGAGTATGGTCATCTTTTAGCTAGAAGACCTGGCTGCAACCCCAAGGAGCTCTTTGCTGTCATAAATGAAAAGCTTCCCACAGTATCGTAAGAAATAAAAATAAAAAAATCTACATATCTCTGTGTTCAGTTTTCATTTTTTAATGGCCACTTACCTGATGCCTCTACAACTGAATTACTTTAGGCCACCTACTGTTGCTATTCTGCTTTCTTCATATGCCAAGATGTTATTGCATACTCAACCTCCTGATCCGGAGTTGCAAGAACAAATTTGGGCAATCTTCAGAAAGTGAGAGTTGCTTTTTTCTTTGCCGAGTATTGGATTAAACATTTATACTTTATTGTTGATTTTTATTTTACTGTGTTATGATGCTTTGAACTCTTCATTATGTACCTATATCAGATATGAGAGCTATGTTGATGTTGAGATACAGCAAAGAGCCGTTGAATATTTTGCCTTGAGTAAAAAGGGAGCAGCTTTAATGGATGTATTAGCTGAGATGCCAAAATTCCCTGAACGCCAAGTATGAAAAATTCAAAGTATTTTGTTGGTTTAACTTGTTGCAAGGCACAGAAGTTAGGACTGCACTGTTCATGTGTTTCAAATTAATAATGATTAGAATTTATTTTATCTTTTTTTTTTTTAATTAATTATCTTTACTTTTGCTAGTCTGCATTGCTGAGAAAGGCTGAGGACATTGATGCTGACACTGCCGAGCAAAGTGCAATAAAATTGAGGAGTCAGCAACAAACATCTAATGCCTTGGTTGTGACCGACCAACTCCCTGCAAATGGGTCACATTCAGTTGGCCAGCTTAAACTTGTCAAAATTCCTAGCCAAAACATGGTTGGATAGATTTCTTATTACCATGTGCAAATTGAAATTTAATTATTTGAAATTATACTTATATGGCGAATCAAATAAGATTTGCAGGAGGCTAGCTCTGTTGATCAAGGGAGAACCGAGGTTTATGGAGCTGTCAGCAAGGTAGATCCAGAAGCAGCTTCATCAGCAGACCTCCTTGGTGATCTATTGGGCCCACTTGCAATAGAAGGTCCACCAAATGCTCTTATCGAAGAAGAACAAAGTCAGGGGATAGAAGCTAATCCCAGTTCTCCAGGTGCCTTAGCATTAGCTGCTCTCGGTGATCAGCCCAACTCAGCTCAGGTGTTAATAATTCTGTCGCTTGAAGTGGCAATTTTTTTAAAATTTCTGTAGAGCTTTCACTTAATTTACCGTTGTTTTATGCTCATTCCTAAGTATTAAAATTAACTTTGTTTATGATTTCAAATTAAATATGCTCATTAGTAACAACATAAATTGTTTTAAAAAAGTATTTAGTGGATTTAATCCTTAGAAAATGTTTGAAAAATATCCTTTCTAGCATGCATACTTGAGGTCGTTTCCCATGCCCATCCCTACGAAGTATGGACATGACAAAGTGATGCTACTGATAGGAAACACTTGGATTCACAAGTGTTCCTAGCCAAAATCAGTAAACTGCAGCGATGATATTGCTGTCCACAGCAGGAAAACAGCAGAAATCTGTTGTTTACAGCAAGAAAACAGCACTTGTCCGGAAAAGTATGAGAGAAAACTCAAGAAAAGGCTTGTATTCCACTTAGACGATGAATAAAATAGCAAGATACAATTGATCCTCAATTCGAGAGGAGGATCGATCTCTCCCAAATCTCTGGCAACGCCAAGAGCCCAAAGAAAACCTAAATCTAAGAGATCTCAAATTTCAGCCAAATTCAAGATGCCCCAAACCCTAGAAAAATCAACTACTTAATGCATACAATTCAAAAGGAATTCCCTAAACAATCCCTGCAATCAATTTCCCTCCTAAACTCCCTCAAATTTCCTTCCCGAAACCGTCCCGCAAGGTGCGCGTCTCGCGTAGCTTCCGCCCAGGCGGAAGCTTTCTCCGCTGTTTTTGCGATTTTTCCCGTGAACCGGTCCCGCCTGGACCGGCTGGACCGGTCCAGTGGTCCGGTCTAACAGCTACCTATTGATGTTGATAGAGGGATAGTTGAGCTGTTAAAATGTAGCGTTCTTTAATAATGGTATATGTTGGGTAAATATATTTTTAGTACATGCATGCATTTCTACGAGTACTACTTATCTACACAAAGCATGCTCGAAAACATTCATGCATCTGCCATATATCTTGAAATCCGTTTGAAATCACATAATAGTAGTGACGTAAACAGATCTGAATATATCATACTTCTAAGCAGATAATGTGCATATGTTCATAAAGTTCAGTAAATAATAATTATTTTATAAGGGTTTGAAATCTCACCTGTCTTAGACATACGTAGCATCCTTTTGTTTAGAAAATTGAAATGATTCGGCTATTTCTTTCTTTCTTTTTATTGTTTTGTTGTTTGTGGCGAAGTTCTACATTGTATACACAATTTGGATTTACGGAGCACTCAATTGGCCAAATAATTCATTCATTTGATCAATAATAACTTAAATGTTTATTATGGATTCTGATGTATAGAAATAGTGTTGTAAGTCCAAACATTTAAATGCAATCTATTCCTATCCAGTCTCAACAAATTTAATATTTAAACTTATTCTTATCCAAAAGAAGATAATAGTTAATAAATTAATTAAAAAAAAATTTCGGCCATAAACTTAAGTGGTTCAAAAAAGTATTGAGAACAACTTTGGTTCAAATTTGTTTTGGCCTTATTTGACTCATAATTGGCCTGTCTCCACTTGGAATTTTTGAAGTGATTTTGGCTTTTGGGAAGCTTATTCTACATCTCATGCCTATCTATTGGAACAAACTATTACTGCAGATGACGGGATTAATTTTTCCATGTTCTGAGCCTCCTTTCCTTTTTGTCATTACGTGTTTTAAGATGTTTGAATGATGATCACAAACTGTAAAGCATTGTCTTTATGTATAAATATAAGTAGGAAATTGTATCTAATCGATTACTTGCTTGTATATGCAATTTTAATAACTCTTTCCTATTTTTCCAGCCTATTATCAATATTGTAGAAAGGTTCAGTGCGTTGTGCCTGAAGGACAGTGGAGTGCTATATGAGGATCCCCACATTCAGGTTTGCAGCCCTGTATTTTCTTCACCATAATGAATTCAGATCCAGTTTCTTAAAGCGCTGAATGATACAACATAACTTCAGTTTTAATATGTTTTACATTTGAATCGATACATCATATGTTTTGCTATTAACTTTTGTGATGTTTATTGTATATATAAGATTGGCGTGAAGGCAGAATGGAAAGCTCACCATGGACGGCTAGTACTTTTCTTGGGTAACAAGAATATCTCTCCACTAGCTTCCGTGCGAGCTTTAATACTACCACCACGGCATTTGAAGATGGAGCTTTCACTGGTACCCGAGACCATTCCACCAAGAGCACAGGTGTGATTCATCTGATGTTAAATAGGTCATGAATTTTTCTTACTACTTCATTTTGATAATGTTTGCATCATAATTTTCTGCATTTTCCTTTAGGTGCAATGCCCACTTGATGTTGTTAATCTTCAAGCAAGCAGAGACGTTCCAGTTCTTGATTTTGGTTATAGATTTGGAACTACGATGGTACTCATTAAAATCCCTGTTTTAAGGTTTTACGCCCTTGACATGTTTTCTGAACTGTTCTATACTTCTCAGGTTAATGTAAAACTACGACTTCCAATGCCATTAAACAAATTTTTACAGCCCATGACAGTCTCTGCAGAGGAGTTCTTTCCATATTGGAAGTCTATTCCTGGACCACCCATGAAACTTCAGGAAGTCGTAAGTTCAATTTACCTCCCATTTTTTCTGGTGATCATGGCTCAAACTTAACTAGGGGACTAGTTATAGTTCCTCGGTACTATGTTTAAAAGCAAGTTTTCTGGAAGCGTTCCTATAAATGCTCCAGATTCAAGATTTACTTGTTATTTATTACGAAGAATTTTTTTACAGTGAATTCTTGTACAGATACAGCTTCAAACCTTGATGCACATTAATAATAAACTCTGCTAGAAACAATTTAGACAAAGAAAACGTGGAAGAAAATTAAAATGAAGCCAAGAAAATAGAGTTTAAATGAAGATGAACTGCTTGTCTTGTTGTGTATCCCATTTAAAAGAGAAGCCAGACTAAGACATCTGCTTGGGATCAATATTTATTCTGGTTGAAAATGTGTAATTGGCATGTTTAATGGATTTTTTAAAAATTATTCAAACTTGTGCAGGTTAGGGGCGTGAAGCCCTTGTCGCTATCTGAATTGGCAAACCTGTTTGCAAGCCTGCATTTAGGAATATCTCAAGGACTTGTAAGTTAGCATACCTTTTGTTCATCTCATACTCTTTTCTCTTTACATCACAGCTTAAATTTGATTCTTGCTCACAGGATTTAAATCCAAACAATTTGGTGGCAAGTGCAACCTTCTGCTCTGACAATTCTCGTTCAATTCTTTGCTTGGTAAGGAAACATAAATGCCTTCCTTAATTACTCGTGTATTTACTCTGTACTTATCTTCTGGTCAGATTCTTGCACGTAATAACAGTAGAATTTTATTCTGTCTTGTTTGTATAAATGAAAGAAGCATCATCCTTCTAAAATAAAGTTCATGTATGTTGAAATTGATAGGGAAACACATAAGATTATTAGTTTAAAGTGCATGTCCCGTTTTTTGCTCTATTGTTTAACGTTCTACTTATGAAAGCACGAAGCAAATGTGAAAATGGTTATGGTGATTAACAACTAAAATGGATTTTGATTGCTCGTGTCATCGGTTATGAAATAATTACGATAAGTCTAATCATGAGGATTGCGGTAAACTGATAATGACTTCATTTACTATGCCTTATAATTCGTTTTGAGTTTGCTAGCCTTCTTGGTTATGTTTCAAATGGCATTTATGATGTTTGATACTTTTCAGTTTTGTTCCCTCTTATAATGAAGACTTGTATTGAGGCACGCAAATCATAAATGCTTGCCTCAATACATAAATGTGATGGATTTAAGTTCCTTATATATATTGATATAGAATGTGAATATTGGTGATGGCATAACTTTTAGGGTTAATATTGAGTTGTTATATTAGAGAATCATCTTAAGACAAATGTGTGAATATAGATGAATATTATAAAGCAGTAATAGTACTATCAAAACAAATCCACACGTAAAATCCAATACTGATGTGAATGCGGATGGAGTCTTATATAAATTGAGAAGGAATGGGATGTGGATAATGGATATTGATATGGTGAACAAGCATCAAGATGCTAGATTGTGTGAATTTGTTTGAAGAGTATTTTATTGTGCATTATAAAGTCTATAAGACAACTACTAAACTACATACATTAGGTTGGAAATAATAATCATAACAAAATGAGCTCTGGTCAAAATGTGAAGGTGAATCCGTGAATGTATAACTATATTTGAGATGATTGAGTAGTGCATTTTGGACATAATGAAAGCTGTTTGTGCGGTTAGTGTACAATTAAAGTTAAGTGGATATTGTAACGTCAAATGATTTAATACAAAATGGTGAAGACCAATAGAAGTTCATGCAAGAAAGTTCAACTTCCAATTTAATACAATATGTTGTCATGCTTTTGAATGCTTCAACGCACTACTTTCAAGAACCATCAATTCCTGTGAGCAGTCAGCTTTAACCAACCATTCTCTGACAAGTTAATTTAAATTGTCCAGTGCTGCCATACTGTTTAGCCTAACCCACCCCACTGAACCATTGCACTTTTGGACTAAAATTGCTATGTTATATGCTCTCAATACATTACTTTGGTGTATTTAACATTTTCAGGTTAGAGTTGAGACGGACCCTGCTGACAGAAGTCAGTTACGCCTAACAGTTGCTTCCGGGGATCCTACATTAACCTTCGAGTAAGTTTTGCACATCTTAAAGCTTATTTTGAATGCAGAAAGTATCTCTTTTAACTTCTTTCTTCAAATCAGGTTAAAGGAACTTCTTAAGGAATATTTGATCAATATTCCTGTAACAACCCCGGTAGGGGCACCGCTCCAAGCTCAAATTCCAGCTCCTTTGCAACTAGAGCCACCTGTGACTCCTGTGACAAATGATCCAGGTGCACTTCTTGCAGCACTACTCTGAACAACTACTGTTCATCTTTACTAAGATTTTGGCACATCTGAGGAGAAAAGCAAAAAAAAAATTAGATATGGTGCTCTGAATACAATAAGTAGGAGGAGATATCCATCCAACAAACGGTCCACATCATTAATATTCTTTGGGGCATTTAGAGTTTAGGCCCTTTGATGAGTTGTTTTCATATACAATATATATATCGCAGCACCAGATGTGATCCTCTGCAATTGTATTTTGATTCCTTGAATATGGCTTAGATTTAAAAATTTGTAGCGCTAGGGAATTTTCTGTGCAGTTTCTTTTTTCTTTTCTTTTTGAGAGGGTGGGGGGATGGGGGGTTATTTATTTGATGAAGAGTAATGTATCATTTTCTTCTTTGAAGTTCTTATTCAATGGTTTCTCAATCAGACTTTTGGAATCTTTGTTGCTCAATTTTTTGTTTACTGAGTTTAAATAAGAATGTACTTTTATATTTCCTATGGATATGGACACTTCCATAACATATTTAAGACGAGTTGGATTAAAATTATAATTATTGGATTTATCTTAAGATGAGTGTAATAAATTCAATAATTATAAATTTTATTTCGATTAAATTTGAATCAGTATATGTTGTCGAAAATTTTTTCATATACCAAAATTACAATATTCATATAGTAATATTTTATTTTTGACATAATTAAAGGCCATGTCTTTAATTAGATTAGGCATGACTGAATCTGATTGAAGTTAGCAATCAAGAACTTATATTTTGGAGGCAAAGACAGAAAATAATTATAAGTTAACCTTTAATAAGGCTGCTATATTCATGAATACATCAATTTTAAAGAAGTTTCATATGGTGCTGAACTTCATGCTCCCATCCTCTATGAAATTATTTCAATCAGTGCAAATTTTATGTTCGCAGTTCTTTTAAACATTGGGGTTAAAGTCCATTTCTGAAATTCGGGGGTTTTCTGACTGAATTTTAGGTATTATAAATTTTATGATTATTAAAATTGTTTTCAGATAAAATACAATATATTTATTTAAATCTATTAAAATTTATATTGGCAGCAACCTTGCCTTGGGATCATAAGTGTGAGCTAGGGCCTATTAATAGTTTCTCGTCACTTTAAGTCTGTGTGTGAGGCCCAAAATGTTGATCTCTGTTTGTTCCACGCTGCTTAAACATGTCATATTAATGCAATCAGTGTTTATGGCTGACTTAGGTTTCGTTTGGGACGGCATTCTTACCGCTTCTTAAAGCAGCTTTTTAGTTCAAAAATTAAAAAATTTGAACTAGAAAGCTGCTTTAAGAAATAGTAAGAAAGCCGTCCCAAACGAAGCCTTAGTCTGTTGGCTAGGAGCTTAAGCTATCAACTAAGAGATTTGGAGTTTGAGTCTTGTGTATGTGTTATATGTGAGAGTCTGTCTTAATTGATCTAAATGCCTCCAAAAAAATGCAATCATTATTTCATGCTATGTTTAGCTCGCATGAGTAATGGGCATTGTTGCTTTGATTTTCTCATGTTCTCAGGTAGGATGCCATGTTGTTCAGTAAGCTCTTGCCACATGTATATATCATTTCATGGTTTTTTTTTATATTTCAGAGTGGTCGATGATATGTAGAGCTGCAACATGAGCGTGAGATTCCTAAAACAAATGATTATAAGACTACTTAATCTCATATTAGATCATTCAAAGTATGTTACTACAAATCTTATGACAAATAGTTGATAATCTGAGTTGTAAATTTATCAACACCTTCTAAACAATCTCCCCTTGTTCACCCCAATCCAAGTAAATGTCAAGAAAATATAACACCACAACCATAACAAGAGAAGAAGCCACTGTAGCCATCGCACCCAAAACCCATAGGAAGAGAGGAAACGAGAAGTAACAAGCTCTGAGCCCCAACGACCAGCAGAAACTCCCTCTGTTAACCATGCTCGCCACATACTCCGACGCTCTTCCCCTTTCCCCATGGCACTTGGGTGGCACATTAATCAAAATGCTTGCATGACTGTAGTACCTCACCGACTGAATGTTGAGGAGAAAGGAAACAAGAAAACATAAGAGGATGGAGAAGTAGTTTGCTCTGGCAAGTCCTTTATTTTCGTTGTTGGTGTAATTTGTCATGAGAACCGCAATCAAAGAGCAGAGCATGATCGATGTTGAGGCCATTAGTGTTGATGCCATGATGTTGTTCCTTAGCGTTTGGACTGCTAGGACTCCGTTCTTTATTGGGTCCTGCATATATACATATATATATAAATAAAATTAGTTACTGATTATTTAAATATTCAAATTTATTTGAAGATGTTATATTACCTTGAATCACTCTTATATATATATATATATATATATATATGTGCATATTTTATACAAATAAAAATATAAAAAAAAAGTATGTGCATATTTTATGAAATCTTAGCGGGGAATGAATTAAACATGATATATATGCATTAAATTGGTAAATTAATTACCTCCATCATGATCTGAACCCATAATCGACGGTTAATAGCGTTGATGCCTATGACGGTCTTGGTGGGGCGGTGAAGGATGTAGAGGAGAAGCCATAGATGATAACTTGCCAAAATTAGAAGCCCGAAAAAAACGAGAATATAATCTAGCACCATTGCTAAAATAAGAGTTGAGAGACTAGAGATTTTAAATAAACTTTGTTTTTCACAAATTCTACTCAAAGATATATATAAAAATTCGTGGATATAGGTGAACCATTATACATGACAACGGAAATCACGTGAATAGTAGATAGATTAGAATACGTGGCATGTTTACTTTAAAAATAATAAATAAATAAATAATAAAGGTAGATAAAAGAGGATAAATACAATTAGTATAACAAACCTTAAATTTCTCCAACGAACTAACAAATTTATCCCGTAATTCATTTAAATTTCAAAATTAAATGTTAATTTTACGAAAACCATAAAAGTTATTTGCAGCGAGAGTTTAGATCAGTTAGTTGGTAATAAACAAAAGAAAACTAATTAATAATCCTCTCCGTTGACTTCAGCTTCATGAATCCAATGGTGCAGAGCCGCAGACCGACATTAAAATTAATCACGTGCTTCCGCAATCCAACCCCCCTCAGGCCACGTGTCAACGCAGCTCTTCTTCGTTATTTTATTGGTCGAAACATTGTTTGGTGTTTGTTCTATGTACGAGATCCCATATTGTGCTGGAATGAACTACAGGCATTTCATTTTCATTCCATTTGCATATCATTTGGGCTGGCGACTCTCACGCCTATAAAAACGGTTCTTCGTTGGCTCTGCGGGATTGCTTTAGCCTCATACGCGGCCGGGAGGGCGGAGTTCAAGCTCGGAAAATACCGGAGTGGGCTGGAGAAGGAAGCGAAACTTTTCTGTTTTTCTCGTCATTCCTGTGGCTCTCCAATTGCAGCTGTGCTTCGGGTAAGTCTCTTGATTTTTTCCTTTTTCACTATTTTGATTTAGGGTTTCATGCAAGGTGCTGCTGGTACATCGATTATCATAAAAGCTCTCCTCTCGAAATTTTCATATGAGCTGTATATCTTCGTGTTTGATCTGTGACATGAAATCAAGTTTTTGGACAGAATTGGTCATGTTTTGTTTTATGATATTTAATTTGGATCTCGTTGGCCTTACCTTTATTTTTGCTTCGTTGCGGCTAAATTTAGTACAGAAATATCCTGGATAGCGTTCGGAAGAAATTTAAGGGATTTTTTGCTTGTTTACATTTTTCTATTTTTAAAACCTTGTATTATTTTGTAATCCCGCTCTTCGCGATTCTGATCTTTAAGATAACTTTTTAAGTTACACTATTATACAGTATATTATGGCGGTTTTGGTTGCCTCAGATTATATCTCATATTCCTCTTGAAGAACCTCACCTCTTTCTTGCCTTTCCTACTATTAACTCTCCTAAGGCAGTCCCTTCAGTGGATTTTCTTTTCTTGTTCTTCTTATTTTGTCTTAAGTGGACTCATGAAATGGTATTCCACTAAATTCGTGTAGGTTTTAGGTTATCCTGTCTCTGTTTTGTTGAAATTTTGAATTGAGAAACGTTGTGCCAGGCAACCTTGTTTCTTGCTTATTCCTGTTTGTTTTTTCCTCTTTAACTGCAGAATAGGGGGCCTTGGCTTAATAATTCAAATTACAAACTTCTAAGATATTGATCAGCAGAAGCTATGGAGGTATATGGCAAATCCATGATTGCTGAGCCAAGAAATGTGATTTTTTTGTCCAGTATTCTCAACCGAGAAGGTCCAATTCCTAGTCACAAATGTGACTGGAGATGTCAAAATGAACACTTGTTTGGAAATATGTATCGCTGCAAACTATCCGGAATTACGCATATATGTGATAGAAATTGTAACCAGAGGATTTTATATGATAACCATAGTTCCCTTTGCAGAGTTAGTGGGCAGGTTTTTCCTCTTTCACCCGCTGAGGAGCACGCAGTGAGAGGTATTCGGAGGAAGTTCGAAGTCGAGAACTCTGATGGGTGTGCTTTTAAGCGCAAGCGAGATGCTAAGCTGCATCCTTCTCCTTTCGAGAGATCCTTTTGTTCAGTTAACCCAATCTGCAGTCAAATTGGAGATGGAATGGACATGAGTTAGATCTCATGATTCCATCTCCAGGTCTTTCTTTGTTTTCATTTTTTTCTCCACTTTGATGAGGGAGAATTGAGTACTATCATTCAGAACTTTAGTGAGTCTGGTAGAGCAACTGAGTATGTTCCTATATGTTGTAGGATGTCTTAACAACTTTTCTTCTATGACACTTTTATTTGAAATGGAACGATGTAACTTCTTAATATGTGACAAATCTTTTGTTACCATTTCAGGTGTCTCATATCATAGCGCAACTATGCTTAGATTTGGCTTTCTTTGATTTCAATCATATTGAAGCAAAGAAATTTTGTTACTCTTATATTTCTTTTGGTTTAACTTCCTATTCATTGAATTATAATTATTTATGACCTCTATTGCTCTTTTTTTTATATTACCTGACCTTAAATGAAATGACATTGTAGTAATACTCTGCACTCTGCAGGTTGTTGCTTAACATGATAGTATCTGATTGACCATATTTGAAGAATTTGTACTATTAATGATTTTATTTTTTTCCTTGCAGGATTGATTAGGGTTTACTTATATTTATATTTGAGTGTCCCTTTTCTCCTATTTGATAACTGATTCCGAGCTTGAATGTTATTTTGCAGGATTTTTCAGGCATGGCAAATAAGGAGAACTAACAAATTGTTTTTAATTTAGAACTTTCTGGGAATGCAATACTAATTATATATTATTTTGCATTTTGCAGGAAAGCAACAAAATTTATGATATCTTGAAAATTTCTGCATTAAGCAAAAGAAGGCCATAGGATGGCTTATACAAGGAGCCATTAACATGAGGATGAAGACACAAACTCATCATTTTTCCATTTTTATGGTCCTAAAGCAACGCCGGAGCAGCTAGAAGACAGTAACTGGTCATTGGCCATCTGTGATGAAGCTAGAAAAGAGTAAACACCTCATTTGCTCTTATTAGAGGGTATCTTTGGAATAGTTTTTTATTATTTTTATTTGATTTTTTAATGTTTTTTATAAATTTATGAGAGCTGTTAAAAAAATTTTGTCCTGCTGTTTCTTTAAGGAGGAAAAAAGTCTATGATCGTCCATTCCAAATGAATTGAACCCTATATATTCTTCGAGGAGCTTGGAAGCTGTTAAATTTTGAGTAGGTTTCATATTAGTGAATCTGCAGCCTGTTTTGTTTTGTACAGTTGGAATGGAATTTTCATGTCCTGAATAATGTTGTCTCCATTGCTTCCATAATAAGCAATAGTATTTATTCAATAAGGACGGTGGCAGCTGATTTTGTTAGATGGCCTACTACTAATCTTTGACTTCTTACAAAGTTTTTACCCATTTGTCTCCAAATTCATTATTAAACTATTAATCTATGCAAATATATGAATTTATTTCTTTATTTATGAATTTCTAATTCCGTCTATATAATAATAAAGTTTGTTATTATGAAAAAATAATAATTTAAATAAATTAATTGTTGAGATGTATTTTAATTATGTTTAAACTAAAAATCCTCAACTGTTTTTTATTAGAATATGTCTATGCAAGTTATTTAAATGTGATTCGCATACACTGTTTTATGTTATTGTTGTAAGTGCCAAAGGTATTATGATGTCATCATTATTTAATATCATTTGCACTAACTAACATCATTTGTAAACATATAATTAGTTATGTTTAATTAAAATTTAATTTCATCTGAAAATGATAAAATATTAATAAACAAGCTTAACTAATATTTTAAAGCTGAGGTTGTGATGAAGTGTTAGAATTTTATTTTATGCTTCACCATATTTTGAGATTTTATTTTACTTAAAATGGTAATATAAGAACAAGAAGATAAAATGAAAGAAGCAAAAAATATCTCCGATGTAAGCAACATAAGGCACTCCAATACGTAGTTAGCGATAACCAGTCACCCAAATACAATAAGGTGTAAGAAGAGATGAGCAGAACAATTTCAGCTCTAGAAGAAGACCGTTGTACAATGAATGAGCTTTTTGCAAGGCAACATTACAACTACTGTCAAAAGTAGTATGAAAGAAAAGTTGATTAAGCAATCTCTCATTTGTCACTTCAAATAAGATAAACCCTAAATATACAAAGAAATACTAAAACATAAATAGAAAAAGAGACACATAATATAGTAGGTCATATCAAACAGTTCAATACAATAAAACAACTCTTTTTCTCCAGTAATATGAGCCATTAGAGGAATTTTCATTGACTCTCTATCAATATTAAGAAACCTATGAACTTCAAGTATTTAAATAGCCAGTATTAAAATTAGGACTTACATTTTTACACATCATTTGCAAGCTTTCAAGAAACTGCTCGTACATATGAAATTTTTGCATAAATTCTATCATTTTAGATCGTAATACTTGGAAATTTCTAATATCATCAGCTCATAACAAATGGACCTCCTCTCTAAGATTTGCATTGTAAAATCCCTCCATATTTCATTTTTTTGGGTGCAGGTAGTCTGTACGAACTGACCTTAGTACGGACGAATTATTGAAAATCGGTATGGTTAGTCTGTACGAACTGAGTAAAATGCAGGTTCGTCTATACAAATCGTAAGTTCGTCTGGACGAACTGAACATATTTTTTTGTCAGAGCTCATCGTCTAGGGATGAAGATCCATTATCGTATGTACGATTTGTGTACAGAGGAGATCGTCCCGGGACGAACGAGAAACATCGTCTGGACGATCGAGTTCATTAAATAGATGATTTGAGATATTTTGAAGAGAGAGAAAGCTGGAGAGAGGAAGAAATGGAAAAGGAAGGAAAAAGCTTGGTTTTGGAAGCCGCGGTGCGATTTTCGTCCGTCGACGCAGTTGAAAGATTTGTTTGTCTCACAGTAAGGAATCTGAATCCTATCTCTAATTTCGAAGATTTCGTATTTTCATATTTTTCTTCTCAGTTTTGTGTTTCCGTTACCGAAATTCTTGCATATCTTTGTATTGATGAAACTTTTACCGCGTAACTTTTGATATGTTATAGAAATGATGATGTTGCACGATTTGAGTATTTTCTAAAAAGTTTTCACCGGGTATCCTGAATTCTGAAGTATTTTTTATCGAATAGAAAATTGTCTGGATGTCGAAAAATATTGCTTCAATACAATATAAGTCTTGAAATGATGTTTTATTCGATGCCTGATAATTTGGTAATTTTTTAAAACTGTGTATTTTGATCATGTTAGGGATTTTTGTCGACTGTACGATATTTTAAGGATTTTCTTCAATAAAGTTAAATTGTGTTTGTTGATTGCAATGTATTAATGAGATGTATACAAATGTGGATATTTGATTGAAATACTATTATATTACTGAAAGACAAGTAAAGATTGGTTGAACCGTTAGTTGGAGATTTATTGACTTATACAGGATTGTGGGCTGACGGGCTTTCCTTTAAAAAGGGTTTAGTGTTATCCTCTATTGATCACGTGATATAGCAATTGGGAGTCATAAGGAGATTATGCTGACGGGCGAAGAGTGAAGACTCTATTATTGAGCCAACGGATACAACGATACATCGATATTCCAAGACTGAAAAGCACCTTAATAGCCAATGATTGTACTTGTTATGTAAGACTATTGTATTGAATTGCATGTTTAAAGTATTGTTCTTATGATTACCCTATGGATTTACTAATATTGAATTGATCTATTGTTACCGATTGATTTATTGATTACCGTACGAATTTACGGATATCGGCGGATTTATTGATATTGAATGAATTTACTAACGGATTTACGGGTTTACTGTCACTAGATACAGATACTGATAGGGATATTGATATTGCATTGATTCATTGATACTACGGATACTGATATTATTGATTCATCGATATTATGGATTCATTAATTCATTAATACACCGAATATTAATCTGCTACATGTGATATACTGAACACGTGATATAGAGTATGCTTTTACTGTATTGATTTTATTTCAACTATTCTTACGATGTATTGATTTGATTATTTTATATGATTTCATACCGATTGATATTATTGACCGGAGATGATTTCTTTATTCAATGATTTGATTGATTATATTGATACGATATTGATTTAACTAATATTACTGAT